GTATACATATACTTGTAATAAGCCTGCTTTCCAATTCATTAACAAAGTTAAAAGTAAATTTTGACTGCTTTGTAATTAAGATTTTTTGATAAAAATGATGAGTTTTTGAATTCAAAATCGTTATTTTGAATATTTAGGTAGTTTTAAACAATTTTTGCCAAAAAGAATATCAAATCATGACTAATTTTATTTACCACGCAGTGGTAAATAGCTGTAAGGGTACTTGTGGCTATTTACCACGCTTACCACGCCAGTGGTAACAGCCACTGTCCTAAATATCCTCTATAGAAGATGTATCATTAACTCAATAAAGATATTTTATTACCATATATATGTAAATAACATATAATGAGCTGGCCTTCATTCACTCAGCCTTCCTAATATCTTCCAACACGGGCTATAATGTATATTACTATTTAGATGCATATTACTCGTTACCGTTGTCTTCACGGAAACAAGAAAATCTTACTTAGTACTTATTTTTCACGAATGCTCGATTTGTCACAACCCTTACATGTTATATTAAATCAATCTGATGAGACTAACAAGAAATCGATTAACGCCACAGGGATATGTAGCCTATTAGTCACGTGACTGATACCCTGGTTAGAAGACGAAAGGAAAACCGTAAATGAATCATTGATACATTGGAATATTTTGTGACAAATGAGTCGGGAAATAAATGTATAATTTGATTCCATATTTTATAACTTTATTTTAAGGAGTTCAGATGATATTAACTTGAAAACAAAAATTTCTTGCTCCATCAGAAACATTTTAAGAAATCCTTTCGTACCGTATGAAAATCTCCGATTATACTATTTTTAGAATATAACAGCTGATTTCAGCCTTTGTTCACTAACCGACTCAATACTCAACGAAAACGTAATCGGTGGAAAAGATTTACTTGTAAGGAAATATTAAGCGATAAACAGATTGTCTTAGTGTAGACATTCAACTAAAAGGTATAGCTGGTGAGTATATTTTCTGATGTTTTAGTTTAACATAATTTATATTAATTTTAAGTGTTGCCGACAAACACCGGAAGATGAAATCAGCTGTTCTGGCTACACTAAACCTTGCATAAACCTAAAGACAAGTGCAGTTGTATTATTTATGCGGAAGATATTCTGTGTGAATATACCCGATGTAAAATGTTGAGGAATTCATAAGAACGACCGAGTGTTTGACTGTCGTGTAGTCCGGCTCTACGGTTTATTGAATTGTAGGCGAATCGGTTTGTGTTATTTATCACAAGGAGCCTTGTCTCTTGGACTCTGTTCATCTGATTCTGAAAACGTTTGGGAATAATAATTGCTAAAAGTTCTATATGGTTATATACTTTATATGTTAGGCCTAAAAGGAATTAGCCAATCACATGGGTCAATGAAGAAATATATTTTTAAATGAAAATTAACTGATGTAAATGATTACTAGAGAGGGTGTTATAAACAAGAAAAGTTAGACAATACGATCAAAATGTAACTACAGTGACGCCGAGTTTATCCGGTTGCCGATAATCCAGAAACCCCGATATCCGCACGCTTTTAACTGGGAATGGAATATTTTCTATGTAAAAGTAACCGTATTCCAAAGGGAATGTCAAGTCTTTTATAAAAACACGTTGTGTGACATTTTAACTGATACAAAAGAGGCTCGAATAGCGAAGGCATATCTTAGTTAGATATAAGATGCTTCATATGAGTATAACTTTGAGCTGCAAAATATGCTGAAGGTATATAAGAGGAGTTTTTTGTTCGGCATGGCTAAACAGGATTTGCATACATAATACACAAGTTACGAGAATTTAATTGAGAATAAAACTTAGTTATCTTATTTAGACTGAAGGCCGTATTAAGATATTAATATTTTTGCGTAGTCTACATTTTTTTGTATGAACAATATATATTTACATACATATGATTATTATAATAGGATCGGGGAACAAGCTTTCGCCAATAGAACCCTCTACTTTCATTGAAAGTATATAAAACGTAGAAAAGATAAATATTTAAAGAATAGAAATATATACATCATGCTATATATTATATATTATCTTATAAAGTAACGGATGGTGATCAGGTGTTTAGGTAGGATGTTTATGGACTGGTTTCATGCATCATGAAACAATTTACAACCAAGGAGGAAATTTTTGGTTATTCTAATCCATGGTCAAGCAGAAGTATCAGTATCCGATTTATAGTATTGAACCCAGCATGAAAGCATCGGATACTATTTGGTGTTTGCTTCACAGACTGAAAAGTTCAACATTTTTATGTGTCTGAATTAAAATTAGTTGCAACAGGATATTCATATCTAGTGATTTTATTCTGTCAATTATTAGAGTGGGCGTTTCTGCGGTGTCTTTAATCCTCCGCTGAAGGCGGACCGCCTCCGCCATCCCACCAGGTCATTTGAGGTTTGATATTCGTGAATTGAAAAGCACGTTTTTGTAATACAGGCTGCAATAAAAAGTTGAAATGTTTTTATTAAGTATGACGAAACGAAACAATAAATAAATATTGTTCTGTTTCAACATGCAAATGTTAGAAGCGAGTTTGAACGTGAATTAAAAAAATTTCTTTGTGAGTAGAGATAATGTCAGCGACTAAATTTTCGACTTTCTGTTGTTAAATCGTAAATAGGCCTAGTCATAGATCAGTAGGCTATATGACCTAAATTAAATTTCCTCGAATTTTAAGTATTGTAACGCTGCAATAGATTTTCTGCCTCTACGCTTGTCAAAAATTATCAGAAAAAGCTCCAGTGGCATAGGTTAGCGATAGTATGTTCCGGACTACTCTGACATTGAGGTAAGAGTTATCGTTTCTTAACTTAATTTCCGGTCATTGAAAAAAAAACATTTGCATGTTGAAAAAGAACAAGATTTATGTTTTGTTTAGTTTCGTCATTCGTAATTAAAACATTCCAACTATTTATTGCAGTCTGCATCAGAAAAAATGTGCTTATCAATTCGCGAATATCAAGTCTCAAATGACCTGGCGGGTTGGTGGAGGCGGTCCGCCTTTGACGGAGGATTAGAGACACCGGCGTTTCTTGACTATCAATCTTCAAATGCAGAAAAATCCGCCCTATTCATTTGTATGATATCAAAGTGGGACAATGAAATGCGTTAGTCATCAACCTTGAATAATTATCTTCATAAAGTTATTCAGAAAGGGTATACAAAGAAATCTGATATTTTGTAAGTCGGTCAAGGTCTGTTTTTGTGGTTATCTTAATAATGGGTTACGATTGTTTGCATTATTCCTTGAACTATTGGACCAGCAAATATTCTTGCAACGTAAGATAAGAACTATATAATTGATACACTGGAAGTTATTTTAAGGTGGGATTTCACAAGCAACCTTCTTTCAACTTTTTGGCTTTAGTCTTTTGGCCAAACACCAGATTTTAATGAAAGTGTGTTTTGGAATACAATGTTTTATTGCTTTTTCTGGACACCAGTAATGACAAACTTAACCAACACCTGAATTTGTGAAAACATAATTTGGATAAAAGTTACAATGTGTCATAGGAGATTTCTGACGATTCTTGAAGATGTTATTTCAATTTCATTTAGCACGATAACAACTTGCTAATAGGGGATAATAATCATCATAAACGAATTCTTTATGAAAATATATATTGTGACACTAAAAATAAGTTTGTTGGTGCCTTAAAAATGACAAATAGTACTTGGAATATGGTGGCCATTTCGAATTTGGTTCATGAAAAATTGCATCCTGTGAAAATGTGTTCGGAGGGCTCTCCCAAGCAGAAAAAAACAATAAAACATTGTAAGTACTGCAAAACATGCGTTTGTGTTCTGTCACTAGAGGAAGCCGAAGACAACTTGTAGAAAATCTAGAGAAATAGCATTGTCTGTATATTACAGAACAGGAAGACTACAGGATAAATACAGAAGGCCCAAGCCAATCAATCATCCATTTATCAAACTGTCTTATTTGTGTTTCTTCTGTCGTCTCTGCTCTTCCAGCATGCCATGCACAACATTTTCAACAATGTAGCCTTTTGTTTATTATAGTGACTAATTCCAAAATTTACCAAATTTCCAACCAAAATATCTTTCAATATGTTTCAACCTCCTTCCACCAGGGAGTGAACTTGTGTGAAGAAGTGTGAACATCACAGGTAGATTGCTAATGGTTGAAGGTTGAAAGATTGTGCGCATAAATAAGTTGCCAGTGTAAAACCCACCTTTAGAATATCATTAAACTGTTCAATAAAATAACATGACATTGAAATTTTTTTGCTTAATACATTGTTATTTAGGATAAATTTAGCAATGGATTTATGTTCGAAAAGAAAACTAATGTTATCTCAATTTGAATTTTTTATCGAAAAATTCGAGAGTTTGAGAGTGTTTCTTGACATTTAGGCACCATAGTGTAGCGTTGGTATAGTTCGAGCTTTCTCAAAATTTGTGAAAAGCTCTGGTATCAAAATTGAAAACCTTGCCAATAATTCTTTATTTTAATCTCTTTAGATGATTTAATATAGGTGAGAGACAAAAAGATATTATAGCACACCTTCATACAAAACTACGTATGGTTCACAACACACGAACGTAGTTCACAACCATTTTGAATCACTCCGTCGACTTAATTAGTCGAAATTTAGAAAATGCTTTAATATTTCAACTAAACCTTCAAATCGCAATGAAAGGTTTAGAAATAGCTTTAAATGTGACTTGAAAGCTTTGTTGAAACATTGTAAAAGTCGAAGATGTGATTTAAAATGGTTGTGAACTACGTTCGTGTGTGTTATTTCTACGTAAGAACTAGACGTAGTTTCGTATGGGGAGTGTGGTTCCAGATAATGTTTGATTGCCTTGTATATGTCAAATTAGAGATAATCAATTCATGTCAATAATTTCAGGTTAAGATGGTGTATTAAGAGAATATTGATTGATTCACATCATGTCGTCAGTAAAGAAAAATCGTAACCCTTCAGTAGAATCTGATGAGTATGATGACGATGATGATTATATACCAACACCGCCAGATGGAGGTTATGGCTGGATTATTGTTATCTGTTCATTTGTATCTAATATGATTGTTGACGGAATAGGTTATACTTTTGGAGTATTTTTGGTGGAATTTGTCGATGTCTTCAAGGCTCCAAAAAGCAAGATATCTCTAATTGGTTCATTATTATGTGGAATTTATCTATTTGCTGGTAAGTTATTACAGCTCTGACAACAATTCACAGTTTCTCAACAATATCTATCGATCCAACCATCGCGAGGGCTCGGCAATTTGCCCCTAATGGAAACACACGAAAGCTAGCTTTAAAATGGCCGAAAGCCGACCTTTTCCTTGGTGGAAACACAGTTATTGTTCATAATGATCTATGAATGAGAACTGTTTTTTTGACTCGCACAGAATATATTACAAAATCCTTACCACACAAACTGAATAGTATTGCCACAATTGATATTATGATTGTGGCCGATTATAGCTGCATATCATAACTAGGCTATATACTGATGGAGAGAATTTATGATCGCCAATTGGTTGGATACTTGTATTTTTAGTAAAATCCAAAACTTATAGGCAAAAACTCAACTTAGCTTGATCTTTGAGATATCTACAGTGTACCTTGATATCATCATATCTTTATTCCGATAATAAAGCTACCGGTATGTACGGTAAACGGTCCTTCAACAGATATGCAGACATTAAATACTCGTCATTATGTTACGTTACATTAAGATCAAATCACTGAATTGAACATGATTTCAAAATGCTATATCGACTGGCAACGATTATACTAGATTTTTCTACCTTTCAACAATAATTTCTATAGTCATATAAACTTTTTGTTGTCATTTACCTGTAGAATGTAGAAACTAATCAAAGCTTTTTAATTAAATGATATAATTATATTTCAGGTCCTATTGTTAGTGGTATGACCAACAGATATGGTTGTAAACCAGTTGCTGTAGTAGGAAGTTTTATATCTGCCACTGCTTTTGTGTTAAGTACATTTTCACCAAATGTTGAAGTTTTGACGCTGACTTATGGTGTCATTGGAGGTATGGCAATATTTTGTTTCTATTACATGTTGCTAAAATACAACCTGGATTTTTACTTTAGATTTTAAGTTGTACATGGGTTCATGGAAATAATACACGTCGTCACCATGTGTTCTTTTGGCGAAAAATATAATATTTCGTCATTTTTCAGTTTCATTACTGATCTGAATGTGATAGAATACTTTTTATACGCCTACAAATAGCAAAGAGCAAATATTGGCGTCTCGCATGTCCGTCAGTCCGTCCATAATTGCTCGTATTTCTTAAAAACTCTGTCAGGCACAATTTAGAAGGATTTAGACGAATCTTTATTATTTATTATCACCCAAGGACATCACCTATTGAAAATCAGAAAAATATCTCATATGAGGTGTTGTCCTTGTACTTGAAATGCTAGTTTACACTGAAGAACGCGCAATTTTTGACGGATTTTGAAACTCGGTTAAAGATATCGAAAAATATTCGATGGGTTATTGACCTTGTTCTTGAAAACGCCTTCAAATTTTTAGCTCGTAAACACTCTAGAAGGCACAATTCTTATCGAAACTTTGTGATATTGTTCACTATCACCCCAAAAAGTTAGAAAGAAGTGTATGACTGAATATTTCTTTCTGGTGATTGTTACCAAAGCTGCCAGTGGGCGTATATTACCTTACCTGCAGTTAATCTTTACTTTCAGGGTTTGGTTTTGGCATGATATATTTACCAGCTATTGTTAGTGTTGGTTATTACTTTGAATCAAAAAGAGCCTTGGCAACAGGAATTGCTGTATGTGGTTCGGGTGTTGGAACTTTTGTGTTGGCGCCTTTCTCCAAATTCTTGTTAGATCAGTATGATTGGCGCAATGCACTGTTGATTTTGGCTGGTATTATCTTACAAGCTGCTGTTTGTGGAATGTTGATGAGGCCACTAGAAGTCAGTAAACCCAAACCCACTCGACCACGGGCTAAAAATATGATTGATAGAATAAAGGAACAAACAAAATCAAAACGTTTTAGATCAGAATCAGAATGTAGTGGATACGCGTATCATGTCCGTGATGCCAATTCTATCCTAGAACGTGTAATGGAAGCCAAATTGTTGAGAGAAAAACGACTTGAGGAAGACGAATCAGAACTAGCATCTTTACCTAGTGCTATATTTGTGAAAGGAGTTGGTCGTCAAAATAGTAGAGATGCACGAGTACATAAATTATCGATGTCAGACCGAGGGGACATCACCAGCTCTCCGCGCAGTCCTAGTTTACCTAAAGTAGTAGTAGAAGAGAGCTATGTACATAAATCTGATAGCGCTACACATTTATCTATAGAAGCTGATTCTACTATAGAAGGGACTGTCACAACAGAACAATCTGAATATTTTACACCACCGACTTCACCACAAGATTCGAGCTCAGCCAGTTCACCACAACACGAACTTCCACCTATTGATAGTAAGGACACTAATAAAAGAAAAAGTGATCCAGAGGTCCAATATCCAGTCGTGAAAACAACCAAATTTAGCAATGGAAGCCTTCCCAACAACATGCATCATAAAATTCACGAATTTTCGCCTCTGTTAAGTGCTTCAGATCCTAAAAATATAATGTTAAAAGTTCAACCTAATGGTCTCCAGAACATTGTAGTCAACGATAAAAGGAGCAAATTAATAAACTCAAAAAATCTGCTTGCTCCCAAGGAGGACTATAAACGTCCTTTATATCGAAAAGATATATTTTACAGTGGAAGTGTTCTGAATATTCCACAATTTAAATCTCAACCTGATATGCGAAGTTACATTCAGAGTATTACAACAATTCCGACGGAAATAGAAAGAAAAGAAGAATCTCATTTTTGGCAATATCTTTGCATTCCCAACTCTGCGAAAGATACCCTTCGTGAAATGATGGATTTTTCATTATTTAGAGATGCGGGATTTATTCTGTTATGCACTGGAAACGTGTTTGTTTTCCTTGGATTTTATGTTCCTTTCGTTTACTTAGTTGATAAGGCTGTACTGAATGGAATAGATGAACATAAAGCAGCATTTTTAGTATCTGTTATCGGTAAGTTGTTGCATTTACCTTTATACATTAGTAAAATAACAGTTTCACGGGGTCTTTGAGTTATTGCCCTTGATATTGTTAAATACGTCCATAGCAGTTTAATTCGTTGGAAGATATAAGGAGAAATATCTGCTATCATAACATGACCGTTAAAATTAACTAAACCATTACAACGTATCTCGAAGCATTACAAGAAAACTAATAAAATTGAGCCTAACTCCCCTCTGCCTTCACATTCAAAATTATGTTGTTTAATAGGTAGGCACTTAACATGGGACTGAAGACAAATTTCTATGGTACCCGTAGAACTATTGTGGGCAATACACCGAGTGTTTTTTGTATAGCATACCAAAAGATAAAACACGTGCAGATGCGATAGTCGTATGCTAAGGTGCAAGGAGGATCTCTAAACTTTAAAAATATACGAGACGTAGTCCAGAAAACCGGTAAACATATGCACAACCAAGATCTTTATAGAATGAAGGGCGTGGGGTTTAAGATATCAAAACTTTATATTAATGTGGATGGATATTTTGTGTTTGTATTATTCAGGTATAACTAATTGTTTTGGAAGATTAGTCGCTGGTTGGTTAGCCGACAGACCTCGTGTCAGTAGTTTATTAGTTAACAATATCTCAGTGGCTATCACTGGTCTTATTACCATGTTATTCCCATTCTGTAATGATTATATTACTTTAAATGTAGCAGCTTCAATATTTGGAACATCACTTGGTAATCAAAATGTTTTACTAGTCTCTCACATATATCACTTCTATCACAAAAGACGTGGAAGCCTTAGAGAGTATACATAACAGTAGATCTTGTGATCTATTGAATGGTTGAAGTACGAAGTCGACAGGAAACTTGTCAAGTTATTCGAGGTCAAGAACTAACTACACTAAATCACATGACCATCAGGCGGTCAATTCGTAATATCCATTTTCGTAGGCAGAAAAGTCCGATATCGAGATATTTAGTGTCGAGTCTACAAATGCTTGGCTTCAAATATTCTTTGGGTTTTTCTTTCAGGTGCATTTATCTCACTGTCATCTATAATTATATGTGATTTACTGGGGATTGAAAAATTGACAAATGCATTTGGTTTATTGGCAATGTTCAGAGGCATGGCGGCGATGGCGGGCCCCCCTCTAGCAGGTAATGTATTCTTTTCTATGATTTGCCGATTCAGACATCTTTACCTGATTAAAGTAAAATTTACCAAGTGTCATATAGGAAAGCGTAAAATATGTATAGGCCATATTTATTAGTGAAATTTCATTCAAAAAATGACCCCGTGGAATATCACAATTCTGTTGTTGTATGAAGGCTATACATGTATATGAAAAGTAATATTTGTTGTTCAGTTTTCACACTTAGGTCGAGACTGTTTAAATGGGATAGTGAATGCAAACGTGCTATATAACATGAATGACAAATTGTAAGATTGGGGACTGGTTTTGTCATTACGTATTGTAGTTGCACGTGCATAACGTGCTTCATTTTCTTTTAAAGCACTGTTTCTTACATCATCTAACCACGATTTAAGTAGTACATATATATATACCAAAGTTCTTAATAGTAACGTATTTAAACATATGAATCCGTTAGAATAGGTTTGTTTAAATATGTTAATGAGTAAGACACGTGACATATATCGCGTGACCAAGAAAAAACGATAATACTTTTCTATCCAGTATTTTTCAAAAAGTATCAAAAATAAGGCTATCATGTTTTGACCTCATAACCATAGATAGATTATACAATATTTCACCAAATGTCAACTTTATAGATTGAACCACTTTGAAAAAGCAGCCTTTAAAAAATGTCTTGTCAAAAAATATAATTTCGAAAGTAATTACTATAGCACAGTTAGGCACTCCCCATCAGCAAACATCCTCACACCCACAACCTCGTTTATACAAGGTAAAGATCAAAGTAAATTCTCGATATCATATCGTAAGTTTCGTTAGAATTGCATGTATCTCACACATACACCCTTACATACATACATGTTAAAATTTATATGATTATTTGAATATATTTTTTTATTATTTTAGGGTATATTTATGATACAACTAGCAGCTACGACATATCTTTTTACACTGGTGGTGCATTATGTTCAATCGGGGCCATATTACATTTCTTGTTGCATTGTCCCTGTTTTCGTACAAATAAATCCCATATGATTCAGGAAGTTATCGTTCCGTTGAATGAAGAATCTGAACGACCAGAAACAATAACATTAGAATCTTTAAAGAATGGACATAAGTGTTAATATCAAGAGAAATCCAGATATTTTTTATAATGATGGCTGTGATTTCTACATTCGTGTCTTTCAATGACAATAATAGTGTAAAAACTTGGGTGAAGGAGCTAGTTGTTTAATAATGTCTTGCTATAAATATTGTGACAAGCAATTTTTTAGTTCAATTTTAAAATCCTCATTTATTATCAATCATACACAAAATTCGTGTTTATTTGTTTACAGAAGAGTATATTTATGTGTACAATAATAAAATAATTTCACTGAATGCATCAATTGTAAAGCGATATAGTTCAGTTTTAATATTCCTAGTTTATATTATATATTATATAATACTTTCAGTACAATTTGTTTTAAATCAACCACTATATTTGATCGTTAAATAATCCTTTCATGCACCAATCATAATCTTGTTTATTGTCATGTTACTATGCCTTTGAATTATGAAAATATATGATTTTTAGGTTTGTTTTCCTTTATGTAGAATTATATCTGTAATGTTGCCTGAAAAAGCCCTGTCACTATCAAACGCAGAATATATTAGAAAATATAAGAACGTCAATCATAGCTTTAGAATAAGATAGTCTTGCGAATCAAGGTAACAAACGCCCACTAGTACAAATCATATTTGTAGCCTGTAGAGTGAGAAAGAGCTAAGAGTGAACGGATGGACAGCAATATGTTTCCATACTACGTGTGGGTATGAGTATCAAAAGAATCCATAAAGGATTCTACCACGAGACTGATTCCTCTTTACGAAAATTATATATTTCAAGATATTGTACCCGGTACATTTTTGCACGCTGCCACTTTCAAGAAGACCCGTTCGGAATTCAACTTCTTCATATGATTGATAGACAATTAAAAATGTCGTGCGTTTGAGATCAAGATTTGTGTCAAATGTTAGAAAAGCATATTGTAAGAAGGGAGATAATGTTAATGTATCCAGACCACAATCAATTATCAATATCAAAAAGGAAAAAACTCTCACTTTCCCCGCACCTAATTGAGATGATGAAGACGTGTACAACGGGAATCGGCTTTTTCCTTCGAACATCTAGACGCTTTTTCCATTTCATCCCTTCCGACCTGCATTACTGACAGTATTGAAAAGTCCGAAGGTATTATCTTGACCTATGCCGGGATGGAACCGTGGACCTTAGCGAGCAAAATACTGGTCCAAAGCGGCTACCTTATTTAAAAAAAGAGACAACATTCGAATATATGTGCATTTTATTCATATTGCTGAAAGGAAAAACTAAAATTGCCGTAGTTCGCTTTACAGTGAATTGTTTGGATATATATGAGAAGAATATAATTATAATGTACTCATTAATTTTTTTATTTATTAAGGTCTTCCGTTTTTACTTTCTTTCTCTTAATTTACTAAATATTAGCACCACTATAATTTAACATAACTTTAACTCAGTGCCAATGGATTTTATTCAGTAGCCACTTGTTACTTTCAATCACCCTTATCTCTGCAACAGGTCGCACTAGTACCATCCATTCAGGATGGTGGCGGTGCAGAACAGGACTCTTCATTTTCTGAAGATTTATAAAACGCCGAACCAGGTGTTTCATAAACTTCACAATAATGTGGAGTGTACAAAAGTGTACACGTATTAGTTTCAGTACAGCTGACCAAGTCACATGATGTTTTCTTACATTTGTTTATGGCAACGGCTCTGCTGGTGTCAGTGAAAACTACGTTGGTGGATGGATCAAATGATTTTGCTTGTCGGTTGTTGGTTGCTTCATAACTTTTGACATTTAAATCTACAAATATTTTTTTCATAATACAAGTAAACAATATTAAACTAACCTTGGAAGACTTACCTGGACTTGGACTTAATTGGATCGATTGGGACTCCTCCTCCGCGAATTTTTTAACATATGCTACCCTGTAAACCCCTATGTAAGTTAATTTAGTGTCTGGTAATGGAATATTCAAAGATTTTCAGTCTTAAGTTAATGCTATTTCAGTTTTCACTCATTTATATATTGCTGGTTGTTTAGTTTGATTATAATTGTAAAACTTTAGGGGCACGGGTACATGTACTTGGTTTAACCAGTCCATATGGTAGTCGGCAAATCTGGTCCTACAACTTATATGCGTGATATACGGATGTGATTTCGTCACGGTCAAGGCCAGGTCTATTTGGGATTTTGTTTTTGAGAATTTTGAAAATGACAAAAGTAAAATTTGTCATAAGACCCGAATTCAGAGTTCACTTGTTTGTTCTCGCGCTTATTTCGCGTTAAGTCACATTTCATTGTGTGTGTAATTTTTGTGGCATGCCGCTGCGGAAATTACAGTTTGACCCTTAAGCATGTATAGAATGATGTTATGTACTTACTTGAATTGTATGTTATATTTATAGCAGTAACGTGATCATCAGAATCTGCATCCCAAAATAGAAAATCTGGTCCCTGAAATTAAACGAGAAGTAAATGGTTCATGTCGTACTTTCTCATGTGAATCTCACAGTGTGCGATGACAAATATTTCCATGTTTTTGCATGCGATAGCTTACTCTTTTTCTATTCCCAACTGTTGAGAATCTTTAGCGTGCAGAGCCTGTTAATATTGGTTCTAGGTTAGTGTTAGTGATTTAAAAAGATCAGTGGAAAAACTCATCAGAACTGACCATAGATGTGATATTCAAATGCATAATGAATTTTGTTTTCTTACTAAGATCTTCAATATATTTTTGGTAAATAAAGATCTAGTTAACATTTCTGACAGCTGCAAGCTATCTTAAATTATTTTATGATTGAGATTATTGCCCGAAGCTGATCCCACTTCATCCCCCTCACACCCACCTCTGACTATTCTGTGGCATCTACTCGGCCCGTCCGCCTAACATTTTATAGACAAACCACTATGATAAAACGGAATGGAATCTTTCGAGCAGAATGCCAATTAATAAACTTTTCTGCGAAATATTCTTAGACGAAAAGTACAAGTGCTTATGGAACAGACAGGTGTAATCGACAACTTACCTGTTGATATGGTATTAGGGTATATCCATAAGATCTCCAGTCGTTTTTCCTCGCTTCAAAATAACATATAAATTTACCCCCTGATGTATGGCGAACCCAATGAGCATCGAAAGAAGATGCACTAACTGGTACGGAGTATGCGGAATAGGTTTCTCCATCAACATCAATGTCTTGATGGAAATGAGATGTGATTCCTGAGTTCTTAACTCGAATTCCACCAGCATCAGAAGCCTTCACAATAACGTTCACGTAATTGTGCTCAAAAGCGGTGTACAGATTCAAACCATAATAATCGGGCACACCAAACCACGCTACATTTCCCGCTTTCTCTAACGGTGTCAAAACAAAATACGAAGGTTTCCCACCAACTATTCCCCCAGTTTGCGTGAACAGTCCGACCATAATTTCTTGGTTAGAACGAATAAGTTGGAGTTCGCAGTTGAAGTCGTAATCATAAACGTCATTGAAAGGAATCGAAACGGCGAATCCTGTCGTGTCGGTTATGTTCGATATTGTTACATCTGTAACATCTGTGATGTTCCTGACAGCCAATATTCGTAACGAGCAGGTATAGTTCGTGTGAATTAGAGGCGCTGCAATGTAATCTCTACCCAATTCTTGTATTGGTGGCATGGATTCTTCCACGTGTCCACTCACTAATGTTTCGCCAATCGGAACTTTGGTTTCATAGTCTCCAGCCACAACTGCAACCGGTTTATCCGACACGACGTAAGAACCGGTTAAATCTTTTTTATTCGTTACTATCCTCATGGTTTGAAAATCTTTCAAGGTATCGTTAATCCAATCGCCAGTGGTGTAGGTCGTACCGCCGTAATTAACAGAGATTGGGCGTACCAGAGGAAGTCGCACGCTGACTTTTGTACCAGTAAAAGCCGCCATGATGGCGAACTCCGGTTTGGTAGAAATGTTCGGGTTTGCAGTCATTATCAAATATTCTATTCCCAGTTCTTTCAGTTCCCGAAACTGGCTTCCTCCAATCAGACCACCATTTTTATTCACGGCCACAACTGAAATTGGGTTATTAGATTGTACCAAGCAGCCATTGAAACTTTTGCCGGTAGAGGCCGACATTCGAGTAGCGGTAGTTGGCGAATCGTGACTCGTTTTATAACCATTCATTGTCAATGATTCATAAATTCGATATCTAGTGTACGGGCATTCCAAAAGAGTATTCGCCCTACTTGAGCGTCCATTTGCTGAAAAAATTTCACATCCATAGTTCCCTGGTATGCCAATCCAAAACACTGGATAATTCCATTTGGCCTTGTTAGGACAAACTGTCAAGAAACAGAAAGAAACAGTATAACGAACGTTAATTGCACATAAGGCATCAGAGAACTTTTTTTTACATAAAAGACGCTCCCTGGGAGGCTTGCGCCATTCAACCGCGACATTTGTACCCTCATAAAGTCAGTGTCCCGTATTTGTACCCCAAGTATCGGTAGGTTTTATATTGTACTGTTGATTTTTAAAGCAATACAATACTGTCGATGTACAATATTTCTTGTAGTTAAAAATACAGAGTTGCTTTTTTTTGTTTGTTTTTTTTTAAAAATGGGCACCAATAAAATTTGTTTGTTTATATAGAATTGGCCAGCTTTGATGTCATTAAAGTACAAAAAAATATAATAATATTGTAAAACTTACGTGCTGCCGACGAAAAGCTTATTAAAGCCATTACACAAAGCTTACAGTCAACAATAATCGTCATTTTGATTGATTACCTAAAAACATATTAATTTTTCAATGTGTATCTTCTAAAAAAAAAGTATTAATCAAATTGACGACAAATGATCATTCGCGCTGTTTATGTTTTTGATATCTAGTGTACGGGCATTCCAAAAGAGTATTCACCCTAGTTGAGCGCTGAAAAAAATTCACATCCTTAGTTCCGTGGTATGCCCCTCCGAAACATTGGATAATTCCATGTGGCTTTGTCAGAACAAACTGTCAAGAAACAGAAAACAGTATTACGAACGTCAATTGCTCAAACGACTCATTTTGTGAAAGAAAAATGTATCCTTGTGAAAAAAAAACTCCTACCTTCCTACATTATAATATCGTACAATATTAGATCTGATTGCTGATAACTCCCACCACTTTTTATACTGTAATTAAAGCTACTTTATAAAAGAAAGAATATATATGAAAAGATGGTACACAGTGGTAAAGATCTTCACAATGCCAAGCTTTTACGAACCTCGTTTTATACCTTGCCTGCATTTGCCACATTTTAAATTACAAATTGTTTAGTGGAAATTTGCATTTTTGCAATGTAATAATTTTGAAGGAATATTCTTTCAAATTCCATAAGATTCGGGATTAAAGACCTTTATTTACCACTTAGCCCTTTAAATGGAGTTAGAAAATATGTTGCCGGTAGCGGACTGCGACCATTTGCGATCATACATGCATATAACATTCTACATGATGGCGTTGATTGACATCTCAAATTTTGTTGTTGTTGTTGTTTTTTTACCCCCTTTTTTACTTCAAATTTTTCTTATTCCAAATGACCCCCCCCCCCCCCCTTTCATCTCTTATTATGATTTACATTATCCACAATTCCTTTGAACATCCGTCGGTCACTTTTTTTAGTTTTAGCTTAATTATTTGTAATCACCTTTATCTTATTTAGTAAATTGGTAATCATTACTCAATATGACTAATCCTTTCTTTCTCAAATTAATCACTTTGTTGCTCAATCACTTGTTTACTATATATTCTCATTGCTCTGGTTTTTTTTCGTATCATTGCATGATAAAATCTAAAGTATCTTTGACGAAACGTCACAAGCTATTTATTAAAGTAATTAATTAAAAAATTGTGTCTTGTTAAGTTATTACACAATTACTAAATGCCACTTAAGGAGGTTACTAAAAAAAATTCAATCTCAACAAGCAGCCGACCTATAACCGCAACCAAATTGCGTTCTAATGGTTTAGCAGCGTTTGAGCCACTCAGGTACTGCGCTTTTAAACCGCTTTTGAACATGTACAAAATAAACGAATAGTGGCGACAATTATACGATGTCTTACACGCAAGGTTGAACTGGGACATGAATTGAATGAAATTTGCATAATCAAAATATTATTGAAACTGTCAAATGACCATATTCATATATATTGTTCAAGATTTAAATAATATATAAGATTGATTCCTTAGAGAATACAGTTTTATATCCGTGTTAATCTAAGAAATTATTAATACATCATTTTATGAATGGAACTGTTCACTTATATCGCAGTAATAAACAGGGAGTGGTGTTAGTGGGTGTACAGAAAAATGGTTTACAACCGCAATTGTGCTCCGGCTTTATTTTTAACAATTTTAAAAATACCGTTTTAAACGTTTTTGCTTCCAGTTTCATGTCAGAATGCATCAAAGCAGTGAGTGTCAGCGAACGTATAGGAGTGTATAAGATTGTCCAGCCATCTGCGACGTGTGACCGTATACAAATGTAGATTCAAATGAACTAAGAAATTTTTGGAAAAATATATATCGGCTGGCCCAGAAAAAAGTCTATGATTATAGAAGCGTATTAAGGACATTCATTTTTTTTTTTTGAATTTTCAAGTTAGTATGTTGAATTTTCAAGCTAGTAACTTGAATTTTCAAGTTAGTAACTTGAATTGTCATGTTAGTAACTTGAATTTTCAAGTTAGTATGTTGAATTTTCAAGTTAGTGTGTTGAATTTTCAAGTTGGTAACTTGAATTTTCAAGTTAGTAACTTGAATTTTCACGTTACTAACTAGAATTTTCAAGTTACTAACTAGAATTTTCAAGTTACTAACTAGAATTTTCAAGTTACTAACTAGAATTTTCAAGTTACTAACTTGAATTGTCAAGTAAATATGTTGCATTTTCAAGCTAGTATGTTGAATTTTCAAGTTAGAATGTTGAAAATTCAAATAACTTGTAATATAAGAACAGTGTTCTTTGTAATGTGAATGTTCTTTGCAACACGAGCGTTCATGTTTGTAAGGGTGACAAAAAATATGGATCAAGAACAAATTATAAGAACTTATTTCTCATTGGGATTATTAAATAAGGAGATGCTCATCTTTTTGGCTCATGAGTATGGAATAATTATAAGTCAAATAACTTTGAAAAGGTTAACATCTAAGTACAGCTTGTACCAAACAAAACACCATTCAGACATTTTAGATGTTGCTGTTTACCTACATGAGCTTTGTAATAGCTCTGCTAGCCAGCATGGATACAGGTGGATGTGCCGTTAATTGCGCAAAGAAGGCTTTAACACAACTCATGAAACTGTTCTTCTTTTGCTTGGTCTAATTGATCCTGATGGTGTTAATGCAAGGAAAAGTAGAAAAACTACGCCGTCGCCAGTACCGGTCACTAGGCCCCAATAGTATATGGCATATAGATGGATATGACAATCTGAAACCCTTTGGAATATGTATCCATGGCTACATTGATGGATTTTCACGTAATGTAATTTGGCTGGAAGCCTGGTCGACTAATAATGACCCTAGAGTTATTGGTGAATATTTGATAGATGCTGTAAAAAAAAGTAAATGGATGTCCTGAACGGATTAGGTCTAATGAGAGGACAGAAAATAGAATCATTTGAACAGTTTCAGTATTTGTTTAGAACGGAACAAGTACATTAAACCAAAGAATTGAAAGCTGGTGGGGCATACTGAGGAAAGAGTGTCTAGACTATTGAATTCAGCATTTCAAAAGTTTAAAAGATGATGGGTATTTTACAGGCGATTACCTAGATAAAAACCTAATTCTTTTCTGTTACTTCGATGCTATTTAGGTATGCATTTATTTAAAAATACATAACATTACATAACATTTTAGTTCCTTTGAAATCAACAGCAGGTCACAGACTTACGTTCGCCTGAAACGAATCTCTGAGAGATTTGCCCTAATTGTCCTAATATGGCTAATTACTAGGGTGTCGAGTGCGAGGCAGATAATGCTTACCCTCTTCATTAACATTATCCCTTAGGGGCGTCCATATGGGAGGGTTGACCCCAACCCCCTCAGTAAGCCCCACTGAGTGTGTTTGTCGGGAAGTTCATGTCGGGTCATTGTTCATTGGTCATCACTTCTGTCTCAGATATACTTCAGCATGTAGGAAATTTACTTTTTCTCCGGACACCCTGCCAAATATGCTTGTCGTGAAAATTCCTGTAGGGAAATTTCGTTGGTCATCACTTTTCTCTCAGATATATATATATATAAGATTGTTTATTTGTAGATATTTTTATTTTACTCAAAGTGTAATAATATGTTTTCAGAAAGAAATCAACCAAGTGAAATATGTGATTCATACATAAGGCGCGAATTAAGGCGTGAACTATAAGCATATTTTGTGTTTCTTGCTTTTATGGGTTAATGACCTTTTTGTGCATCTAATTAAAGATATTAGTAGTGGTTTGTTTGTATTTTCATAATAAACATTTTTCGGAAGCTATACCTTGACCAACCATGAGCAACGGTTCTCTTCCCTATGGTAATCTTAGCAACAGTCCTCTACCCTACCCTAATCCTAATCACTCTTCTTAATCCTAGCAACAGACCTTCATGCCCTAACCCGAGAAACATTTTACCTCTCTACCCTAACCCAAGCAGAAGCACATTAGTATATCCTAGCAACAATCCTCACCCTACCCAAACACATGCAACAGTCTTCCCTACCCAAAAAATAATCATTCCTATATTTTTCAAGAACGAGGGCAATAACTCATACTAAATATTTTTCTGATTTTCAATAGGGTCTAACCTTGGTTGATAACAAACACTCATGCCAAGTTTCGTCAAAATCCGTCAAGAATTATCCCTTCTATAGTTTTTACAAACTAAAAATTGAACGCGTTTTCAAGAACAAGGGCAATAATTCATACGATTACGAACACTCACATCAAGTATCGTCAAAATCCGTCAAGAATTGTGCCTTCTAGAGTGTTTACGAGCTAAAAATTGAACGCGTTTTCAAGAACAAGGGCAATAACTTATACTAAATATTTTTCGATTATTCTGATTTTCAGTAGGGTTCATCCTTGGGTGATTATGAACATTCATACCCAGTTTTGTCAAAATCCGTCAAGAATTGTGCCTTGTAGAGTGTTTACGAGCAATTGTGGACGGACGGACGGACGGACGGACGGACATGGGTGACGGCAATATTCACCCCCCATTTCATGTGGGCGTATAAAAATCATTCAATTTGTAGCTCATAAAATCTTTCTTCTTCATTTTGTTCAGTTTCACCCTTTTGTTTTTGTTGCAGATGCTTTACTTTTCCTCTTACTACACTTCTTTGGTTCTATTGATGTTGGATATTTGTGCCGCAAAGCCAAATAAAATCTTAAATTAGCCAATTTAGTTAATTCACTTACTCGATCAACTGTGACATTTTTATCAAGTGGGATGTACTGGAAATTTATTATGTCAAATGCATAATCTTTAGCATCTCCAAATTCTGGTGATTTTCCGTTTGGGAAAACAGTTCTGTTGCTGATTTTATTATGTCCGCTTTATGGCGAGCTCACAGACAAATTTCCCCCACCATTTTTCGTTCTCACTGTATGGAAACGTTGTTCGTCTTCGTCGTATATCATAATTCCCATGCCAACTGTTTTTTCTGGCTTAAGTGCTTGAAAAGACTTTTTCTGATTTTGATCTGAAACAAATTTTAATTTTATTCTCAAAGTTTCAAATATACTCTGCTTCTTTATTTTTTGTTTATCATTCTCTTTATGAAAGAATTGTTTTAATGCAAGTATGTCACCATAAACTGGTATAAATTTGGTTAATTCTTCATCCGTCATTATCTTGACGCAATCGTCGTCAATCTGAAAGATAAGTGCAGAAACGAGTAAGTGAGGGTAATATAGGTGACATACCAATTTTCATACTTAAATGAATGATAAAAAATTATAGGGGATCGTGTTGCAGGGGTTGTTTCACATAGTTCCATCGTTATGCATTACTCTGGAGGCTAACTTAACTCTTCGGAAACCATATTTATAACTTTTCTCCAAACACAAATCGATTACGGGAATGTTCAAGCCAAAATATGATATTTAAGGGCTGGGGTTCTGCATACAAATAAAGCTTTGATATATAGTGGATAGTAAATAGTTTAATCTCTACCTTTTCATCTCTCAAAATATCAACTCTTCTGGCTGCCAGAAACTCTTCCATCTTGCAAATTGGTGTTTATACACCACACAACTTCTTTCCCTAAAACTAACTTGAAAATTCAAGTTACTAACTTGAAAATTCAAGATACTAGCTTGAAAATTCAAGATACTAACTTAAAAAGTCATTGAAAATTCAAGTTACTAACTTGAAAGTTACGAACTTGAAAATTCAAGTTACTAACTTGAAAATTCAACATACTAACTTGAAAATTCATAAAAAAAATAAAAAACGAATGGCCCTAATACGCTTCCGTAGTGCCGTGCCAGATTAAATTACAGTAGTAAATAAAAGAACGAATACACGAGGTAAACAAAGCGAACGAAGACTTTATCTGTCTATTGTGTGGACTCTCCCATATCGGAAACCATCCGTCACATCTATCTTCTTTTAATAGCTTGTCATCTTGAGGATTTTATTATTTTAGTCCAAGATTTAATAATATATAAGATTGATTCCTTAGAGAATACAGTTTTTATATCCGTATCAATCTAAGAAATTATTAATACATCATTTGATGAATGGAACTGTTCACTTATATCACAGTAATAAACAGGGAGTGGTGTTAGTGGGTGTACAGAAAAATGGTTTACAACCCCAATTGTGCCCTTCCTTTATTTTAAACAAATTTAAAGATAGCTTGCGAGGCAAGGTAACATACCAGCTGTCAGAAATGATAAAGTCTGTAGTGGTTTAATATGTGAAACCAATCATCCGATTATTACTAATTTCAAGCTATAAGGAGATCTATTGAGTTCCATCAAGATCGGATAAAAAAAAATGTAGTCTCTATCAGGCCTAAAAGCCAAACTAGACGCATTGAACTAATTCAAGAGAAATAACTCCAAAACAGTTCATCCGATTGTTACCGATTTCGAACTTGACTGAGATCTTGTCCATATATACATACATACCAAGTTCCATCGTGATCAGATAAACCATGCTGCCTCTTTTGTGCTTAAATAGTCAAAGGCAGTAACTCCAAAACCGATTCTAGATCTCATCAATATATTTTCAAGTTTCATCAAGATCGGATAAAAACTGTCAAGGGCAATAACCCTGAAATCGGTCATCCAATTATTACCAATTCGAACATGATCGAAATATCACCATTATATACATGCCTACTAAGTTTCATCAAAATGGGATCAAATTTGTAGCCTTTAGCATGCATACAAGCCAAATTTAACGTCGACCGAGATCTCATCAGTATATAAATGTACATGCATACCAAGTTTCATCAAGATCAGATAAAAGCTGTAGCCTCTATCTAGCTTACAATAAATGTTGACGAACGGACCGACCGACGGCGTATAAAAATACGGATTTTATACTTTTTTGCTTTCAGTTTATGTCAGAATGCATCAAATCAGTGAGTGAGTGCTGTCAGTGGCGGCGCCAGTGAGTGTACAGAAAAATGGTTTACCCACCCCATTTTCAATTTCAAATTTTTTTTTATTTTTTGCCCCCAATTGGGTGTCAAAATTATCCAAATCAATTTTTGGAATATTTTGTGGGAAAACCCTCCCAGATAATTTTTACACACTGCCACTTTCAAGAAGACCCGTTCGGAATCAATTTTTTTTTATGATGGATAGACAATTAAAAATAGCGATGCCATCGTAATACGCCCACATTTGTAATGGCAGCTAATTTGTCCGGTAATGAATGTTTCTGAGAGTGAAATTTTCATATTTCATGAGTTTTGTTTACAGCTTTTTTTTTATTCAAGTGGGATTAATTTAACATGTCAAGATGCATTTCATCCATAGAGAATTGAATCTTTTGAGTGGCAGCAAGTGGCGGTGGGTTCGTTTTGCCGCATTGCCCAACTTGCCGCATCGTGACCAACTGCACAAAAACGATATGTAAAACGAAACTAAAGGTTTCTGATAAAATCCGGAATGGCCATTTTTTACATGAAACGAAATATTTTAATCTGTTGTCCTGCATCTTTTTTTTTTATAATGTATAATTTGGACCTGTAAGGGAAATCGAAACTATAGTTTTATGGTAAAATCAAGAATAAAATAAACGGCTCAACGGTTCCAGAATGTCCTGGTGAACAAGGTAGAAGCTGGGGTTGATTGACTCCACACTACTAACTACAAAAATCGACGAACCTGCGATTGTTTAGAAAAAAGAATTAGATAGTGGACCAAAGCCATATACGCCCACCACAGCATGCGGGTGGTAAATATTCAAGATTTTGGGGCAAGGGCAATAACTCTGCTTCTAACGGTCGAAAATAGCTGAAATTCGAACTTGATCTTCGTTTAATGAATATGTATACACATACCGAATTTCATTTGATTCCATCAAAAAATCTAGTTTTTAGAGCGTTTACAAGCAAATGTTGACGGACGGACCGACGGACGGACGGGGTGCCGACAATATACGTCCACATAGAGAGATGTGGGCGTATAAAAATCGATGCGGGACACCATATTAAAATATTTCGTTTCATGTGAAACAAATGGCCATTCCGGATTTTATCAGAAACCTTTAGTTTCGTTTTACAGGTCGTTTTTCTGCAGTTGGGCACGATGCGGCAAGTTGGGCAATGCGGAAAAACGAACCCACCGAGCAAGTGGCCAATCTTTGTGTTAAAGCAGTATATATATATACGGACAGACAAAAAGACAGACAGACAGGGGCGACGGCTATATAGGGTTTATCCTTGGGTGATTACAAACACTCACACCAAGTCTTGTTAAAATCCATCAAGAAACCAGCTCTCTATCGTGTCCACATACAATTCAAGAACAAGGGCAATAACTCATAGTAAATATTTTTCGATTCGTCTGATTTTCAATAGGGTTTATCCTCGGGTGATTACAAACACACACACCTAGTCAAAATCCATCAAGAAACCAGCTCTCTATCGTGTCCACAAACAACCGTGGACAGACGAACAGACAGACAGACAGAAGCCTATCCAAATCCTTAACAAATCCTTAACAAATCCAAAAGTCTTATTATATGTGTCTTCAAACTCAACACCTCCGTAAGTGCAGCGAAATTGCACGGTAATCGATTTTTTTTGGTTGTGGCTGGTTACGGACAGCTTTCAAGATGCCAGAATGGGGGAATCCCCATTATGATATCATTACTGTGGACGTGTCCTGACGCAGTACCATGCAGTTCCCTTTTACTTTGATAATTTTATGGAATCATCGTACCTACACATTAATCAAGTTTTAAAGGTTGATTTCGGGTAGAGAGGTGGTGATGTACAGGCCTAGGAGAGAACAAATACTTCATTAAGAAAATGGAATTAACGGTCAGTAAATACTGATTTTCCTATGTTCTGATCTGAAATAAGATAAAAAATGACCCGCCCAATGGGTGAAAGGTTAGATTGTTATATACTAATGGGCTTTAGTTTGCTATAAACAGGGTTGTTATTTAAGTTCTGGTTTTTGAATAATATGCAACAATCATCTTTTGTTTATAAACATGGGGAAATTTCTCATGCAGGCTCTCATAATGGACTATCTTACTTGCTCGATTGCTGGTAGTATTGAACGAAACAACAAAGGATGCTATGCCTGCATTATGAGGAATATAGATATATTTAGCGTCTCAATCCAATGGGCTTACCTAGCTTTACAGAATTTCGTAGTTTCTTCTTCTGGCATATCAATTGCTATGCTCTCATTGGGGGTTAGATCGTCTGATAGATTTGATTAATTTAACTTGATTTTTTGACGACCTATGGGCCGCAAATTATTGTAAGTTTCTCCTACATATTGTTTAGAACATTTCCTCCGTGAAATTAGGTATATTAAATTCGAGTTTTCACATGTTAGATGCTCCTAGATCGGATATCTTTCGTAAAAGTTACTTGTAAAAAAAATAATAAAAAAAGTCTGATATAAAGGGAAACGTCTTGCATCAACTTGACAAACATGAGGCACTCTTTAAAAACCTGAAGGTGTTTAATATAAAGTCTGTTGTTGACTGAGGTTGAACGTTTTATATTTCGTAAAAATCATTTCGAGTACCCACGCTCATTCAGTTTTGGGAATCGTGAAAACTTGTCTGAAATCAGTTGAATTGGTACAAATTCGAAGAAATCGTAAAACCTGTGACATGATTATACCAGAATAGAGCTCCTGTGCAAGAGTTAGCGAGTATCAGTATCAGAAAATCTATGCTCTTGTGATTAACGTTTTAGCAGTAAGTTTTATGGATGGATGGTGATTATTGATAATTTCAATGAATTCCAAAAACTGTTCTATTGACTACGGATTATCAACTTGAAACAAATCCAAACAATTAAATGTCATCTAAGATACGACCATAAAAGTTAACAATGGGTGAAATGGACAAAGGGGCAATAAAAAACTTACAGTTTTATCATTTTACATAGTGAAAGAATATCCTTTCCCTGGAAAATTTTGTGCCTCCTGCTCGGCCCTCTCACCTGATATTTTTCTAGAAACGCCACTGAAAGCTACTGCAAATCTGGTCTGTTTGGGTCCGGGTTTCTCTCAAACGCTTTACGGACTGCCATTAACTTGCAGAATTATCGATATTAATGTACATAGATGAAACATCGATGGAAATAAAGAGTGCATTCGGAGGAACTTTATTGACAAAATCAGCGTGTCCTTTGGGGACCCGGTTAGGAATAAAATCACTTCTTTGCAGGATTCTTATGGATGTTAGGTAAAAATATCTCTCACGACTGTCATGTTTTGGAGATAAGTAGAAATATTGTTTTTGTTTAAGATAACTTGGTTTGACTAAACTATCAATTGATGTTCCTGAAATATATATATATTTTCTTTCTGATTTGTTCAGTTTGAGTTAAGTTACGCTTACGTACAGTTGTAATCTCAGCTGGATAGATACAAAAGCCTTCGTTCAGAAAATCATTTTATCTTAAATTATCAACCAATTATATGAGACATACAGCTACTCTGTGGTAAAATATCCAAACGATCTGTCCTGTTGCAACCAGCCTTAGCAAATTCACAACTGAAATGAACAAAAAACATAATATATAAATAAACTATGTTAACATTTAATTTTTTTTTTTAAGAAAAAAGTTTATACACCCACCTTGTAATGTGTAAGTTATTGTAGTCGTCCAACTTTCCAGGCAGCCCAACCGTCAATTATTAGGAAACTTGTTATGCTTGTAGTATGTACTCATGAGATCTCGAATGAGTTCGATTTTCATTTAATATCTAAAGTATGATTTTGGGGTTAACAAGTCCTTGTAACTGTAAAAGACACTAGGCTACAGTTTTGATTAAATCTCGCAAAGTTTATACTTATATTTCTCTGAACGTATTCAAAATATGTTAAATGATAACAGGACTAAACTAGAACAATTAAAATATTTATGATTAAATATGTTTGAAAGTTAATAAAGAAAATGTTTTCCGTATGTTTCTTTAAAATATACCATAGAAAATTCTTTCACCTTTCAATAAAAAGCAATTGATCTCACTGGACTATATGCCTACCTACTATTTACAGAGAATTCTGTCGTATGTCATATACATCTGGATATTGTCTTGAGGATTCTTGGGGGCATTTAACACTAGAGGGACATTGACAGTAGAATGAAGTTTTAAAGCGTTTGTGTATGTTTGAAATAAACTCATATTGTATAGGGCTGAATTATTTTAATACATATCAACAAAGCTTCAAAAGAATTCTGTGGTAGATTATATAGATTGTAAAGAGGTTTTCAATTTCTTTTTTCTTACGTATATCGGATACACTGATAGCATCAATTTGCACCAATCCATCATTCCCGGCATAAACATTTTAGAAAATTTCTTTAAAATCCCTTTAAAGCTATTTATAATCAGTTTGTGTTTATCATGCACTATAGATCTTAAAGGCGGCCATTGAATCTGGATTTTGGTTTCTCGAATGTATAAATATTGGTAAATAAGAATTTGCTAGCTTACTGTTAGAATGTTGGTTAACATTATTATGCCGATTGTTTTGTTTGTTTAAGTCGTTTTCTCTCATAAAAATTAATAATATAATGATAATACATGTATTATTACTTTTCGAAAGTATGTTAATTTCTCATTGAGTGAGTTTGCCTTGTACAGTAACAACCCAGGGATAAACATACTTACTCATTTTGATAAAGTTGACCATTAGAAGCACATATAGGCTTATGATCATTTCCACATGGTATATTTTTCGATGTACTACAAAATACTTTCTGTAAGATTTCCAATTCGTCCAATGGTAATTGTGTTGTTGATCGCGTTATTGATTTGGTGGTCAGGGTTTGGTTATCGTTATTTGTTTCAGTTGTACAAGGACCGAAATGAAGTATTGCCAGATCCTGGTTCGAACATTTTGCTTTTACAAAGTAGCATCTGAAATTAAAAATAGGATCACTATCGAATGTACATAATTTGTCGACATATGTATCAACAGGTCAATCTCTAAATGGAGATTCTTAACGCTTTCTACTATGTGGTTATTGCCACAAAAAAGATAAGAAAAAATGTGAGTGTTTTATATACATGTACCAAATTCCGTCAAAGTAGGCTATAAGTGTCCATTGCCCTGGGAACCTTGAATAAATCTTGAAGATTAAAACTAAAATTGTGTTTCACTCATAAAATATATTAATGATCTTACAGATTGGGGAGCAAATTAAAAACCGTGTTCTGTCCATATTGAAAATCCCACGAACTGTACTGCAGTTGTTCTATACTTGAACTTGAAGGGTGTGATTATAGTGATACTATGCGAGAGTGACGTCATAATCTGGAAAGATTGTTCTGGGTATTCACGACACGCGGGTCGAAATGACGCAAATAGATATGAGTTGCAAAATTTAAAATGCACAATTTAAACGACAACAAGTTTTAACTAATATATACTTACAAATTTTGATAGGTTCTTCTATCAGTGGCACACAGTAGTTCGTTTCCTTCTGCTTTATATCCATGATCACAGTTAATATCAGTTGCTTTGTTACACATAGAATTTAGATCTTCACTTCTTGTTATAATTACTGTACAAAAGAATTGCTGGTTTTATCATGAATAGTTTTATATCTTTGTCACGTTAGACGCCGAATAAGCCGAAATGCTTCTTTTGAACTTAATGTTGAAAATGTATTTTAAAACTTTTGACTGTTTGTCGTAAGCATGTTTTCGGCCTATGTTTGAGCTAACAGCTGTGTCCGTTTGAGTGTTCTGTTTTAGCTCAAAATGTCACTATTTGTAGTGTAGAAATTGAACAACAGTCGATATTTTATCTACATTGCATTTGTTTCAACCCAAACGTTACACGAAGAAACTTCGATGACCTCTCCTGTAGCATTCCCGGTGTCTTCGTGGTTTCTTGTCAAAGTAAGCCATTTCGTGGGTTATTTATTTCTTTGTTGCAGCCATGCCTTATCATTTAAAGTATTCAATAGTCAAAGCTAACAATGAAATACTTACTTAATACAAAAACAGGAATCCATAACTTTATATCTAGAGCATCCATGGTCGAGGCAGTGTAGAATATATTACATGGTTATTACGTGCCAGCATTATTTAAGTATAAAATTTGAGTGGATTATATGTCAGTATTGTTAACGTATTGGGATGGTATATTAATAATTTATGGTTTTAATCTATATTTAGATAACAAAGATAAATATGATTTCTACATTATGTCTGCTATATATTACTCGCATACCACTTAAATTGCCACTTGGTCAAGTTTAGGGCGATTCTTCCATAAATGTTTGAACTATTCATCTCGTTCTCGAATAATATCAACAATCAAAGATGGTGGAAATACAAGATTGAGGCCAAAAAAGTTGCCAACATGTCACTATTTTCCATTATTTGGTAAAGCACAGCTAAGATATGGCATGGTTAGTGTTTAAACTAGTGTTTTTATGATCCATGAGGCTCTTTGACTATAGAATCATTAAAGAAATTGATCAGAATCGGGATTATAAACTGAATATAGGACAAACATCATGTTTTCAAATATACATAATGCCAATCACACCATTTTCTTATAATACTTCATGTATGTTCATCCATACTGTCCACAACATTACTTCCTGGGTAGACCGATTTGATAATTGTTTAAGTTATGCTTAAAAAAATGTTTGAAATTGAAATCTTCGTTTTTGGCGGATATTGGGGCGGATATTAGGCCTATGACAAACTCATCATGATGTATAAAATGAACAACAATATAACTCAACCTTTTCTTTGCGAATTAATTAAAACAAAACAAATCTTATATACCCTAAGAAACAGTTATTAACTTGAACAATATCGATGTATAACTAATACTTTTTATAATTCCTTTATCCCTTCAGCAAGCAAAAAAAAGGAACAGATTACCCGAATCATACAAAATCTCACCAACAATAGAATCTTTAAAAAATGTTCTTTTATTATTTTGGTTCTAAGAAAAATAAGATAAATCGCTGTCGAAGTCTTGTCGATACTATGATTTTTTCTTCATTTCGGGACCTTGGTTGGTTCAACCAACAATCGCATCTAGTAACATAATTGAGCAGTCGGCAGATAGATTGGTCATCCAGTCAATATAGCTATTTATTTCGAAGAGGTTATATAGCAAGGCGCTGGAGTTTTAACGTGTGTCAGGCTGCCATTGTAGTATCGTCTAGCTAGTAAGGTGGCTTAGCAAATTTATCGTGAAAAACGTGACTTTACTGAAGATACTCTGATACTGGCACAGGCAGCAATAATCGTTAGAAAGGATATCTATAAAACATTCCAATTCACCGGCCAGTTTCCACCTGGTTGTCAAGAGAAATCATTACCGTCAAGTCTCGCTTCCAGAACATTATGCTCCTTTTCCTATAGTTTCGTTGAAAAAACTAATAAAGCTTGACTAGTGAAGCTTGACTTGGTAGATGCAAAACGTGAAGAAAATGACTGCATGGAACATAGTCGTCAACATATCAGCGATGTAGAATTGCGGAAGACGACTTACATGGTCTGCTTTTCACGCTAATCAACAACAGCCATAATCAGAGCTACAAACAATATGTGCACTGCTCCGTCTCTTTAATGAAAAATCAGACACACCAGCAATGATTAAACATGGCATGTACATCGCCAGGCAACAGAGTATCTCAACCCAGGACAAATTACAGTGATTACGTTTGACCAGCCTCTGTAAATGCTCTCCAAGTACGTACAATGGAACGTCTATGTAGTTATGATGACCGAACACACTTTGAGAAGGCGCTGTGGAACACTGTTGGTAATTTAATTTTGGGCTACGGATCTTATTGAATCTGAAGTTGCTTCATTCCTGAAAGTATCACACATTACAAGGGACTAGGCATGGTCACCGTTCTTATTTTTCACGGGCTATTCAATGACGCATTCAACCACAGATCTAATGTTGATGAGAGTTTCAGCAACTGGTTGGAACAAATGTGTAAGAGATCTCCCAAGTTTAAGTTCTGGTACATGATAGCAGACGTATGAGATACTCATTCTCATAGTTGTTAGAACCCATTGAAAGAAACTTCCCATGGTATGTTACTGTATGAGAAGTACCATTGTTCTTTGATTTCGGGGAAGGGAGGGTTTGATTCTCCCAAATGTACAGGCCTAGGGCGGACGACTGCATGTACACATTAGAGGCATGAAGGCGCTATCGAAACTCGGAATCACTGGACAATCGCAAAATCGTCATACAGATACTGTGCGACCCCAATCAACCAAGCGCATGAGCAGGAAAATAAAGTGGTGAAAGCATCCGAGCTTCCCAGACTACTGAGACAGTACGAGAATGGATATCTACATGACGGTGATCCGGAAATCCCCGCTAACTTCGAACACTTGGAGCAGAGAAAACTTTCAAGCGACATGTTGAATACCTATCTAACACAATACGCAAGATGGGAAATCCCTTCCTGAATGACTTTCCAGAGTTGGTAACTCTTGATAGTCGTAAATACGCGAATGAGGCGATAGTGAATACAATACGTACACTGGAAGACACAGGCAAAACGAATTATCAAGAGTATGTGAAGACTGTGGTGCTCGTGGATGGGAGTCACTTCATACATACGATCTCAAAGAATTCACTACACCTGTTTTCAACAAAGCTCCAAGTCAGATCAAAAGAATGCAAGAAAGCAAAGGTGCTTGAGAACAATGTGACACTCTTCGGTCAGTTCTACATCTCATTACAAAATAGATGGTGACATCATTGAATTCTTTGCTCACGAAGACCAGTCGTATCCTCCATCCTAGACCGAAACATCTGTCTCTATTACAGCCTCTGATAGCTATTTGGACATATGTCAGCTAGTGAAGAGACAGACAAAATAGGCCCTGTTAAATGGGATGATTCCACATCTCCGCAGGTTGGGGGTTTTTAAACCTATTTAGATTCCTCGGATATGCAAAACCCAGGTATATTTGGAAAGATGAATATTTTCGTACTTATCACTGTCATCTCATCATTTTCTCTCTACACCATTTATGTCATGTCTCCGATCCATCAAAGTTTTTTGACGAAACTGATCTACCATCGGTCATTTAAAACTACTTGCGCAGCCAAAAGTTCAAAGATCACAGAATCACGTGATACTAACAAAACGAGTTACGATGATGCCCGACACTAATTTACAATCATCTTAAAGGTTATTCAATATTATGTTAGAGAAAACGCATCTGTTTGGAGGTATTGAAAGTTCCCATTTAACAGTGTCTTTTTCGCCTCACTCTACTCCAGCTGACTGCGGTCAAAATATCAGAGGCTGGAATAGAGGCAGATGTTCTTTATTACCCCCATCCCTGGAAACAAAATGTCATCTGTTACAATGTATCGAGGAACCAAACCAGGCAGAGGCCCCATGGTTATATGACTGTAAGGTTTTGGATGGTGCGGTACACATGCATACTACATGCATTGCCTGTAACTGGTGTCTCAACATTCCAGGATTATGCCGACAATGTGTTTATAACTAATCTAGAACGTCAGCTGCTTCGACACAAACCGGGTGGATGTATTGTGGGACAAATACCGGCCAGATAGACTGAAGGGGGGAACCAGGGAGAAACGAAACAAAATTGTGCATAGAAAAGTACCAGTGATACCAAGCTGCCGGGCAACTGGAATGACTTCCGTGATCCAATCAACAAGAAGGAACTCTTTGAATTCCTGTCGTCACAAGTTACGGATTTCAGCATCCCTCCTGAAAGTTCGGTGTATTTCAGTTTTCAATGCATCGTTATGATAATAGTTAATATTAGTCTTTTCATATTGTGCGTTTCAAGAAGGTAAAGGTTTCTGGTTTTGTTGGCAGGAACTAGGATTTCTCTTGAATTTTTGATTTTTTCTATTACTGATAATATAACAAAGTATTACAAAAATACAAGTTTTACTCATTTTCAATAAGTGTGTTTATTGTTCCATCCCCGATTGAAGCAGTGTTTGTAAAAAAAAAACAACAAACAGCACCAACATGGTAAAATGTGCAAAAATGGGAATTATTAACATTATAAAACGAAATGGACGAAACTAATGAATTTTTATAAATATTAATACGTTAATGTTATGGAAAATTTTGAATCAACACTTCACAGAACTCATTCTTACTTTCAAACCAAAAATTGCACGAGCTAATAACGACGTGAAGGCTGATTCCAGATCAATCACAATCCAAATATCCTCCCATATTACAGTCTCTGATAACTATTGTGAAAGTTGCCGGTTACTTGAGCGCCTGCAACACTGTCAACATAGCTACCAGAGGCTACAATAGAAGTAGAACTATTTGTAGTGCATAATGTGAGATGAAGGAAACAACCACGGACATTACCAATATTTGAAAAAAGAAACAATACTGTAATTTATGTTAAATTATGCATTAATTACTCAAAAGTCACTTTTGATATGATATAAAGATAGCTTGTCAGGCAAGATAACATACGCACACTGGCAACTGTCAGTAATGATAAAGAGGGGCTTTAGTGACTTTAGTGAAAATAAAATTAAGATATTTTATAAGTCAAAGCAATATCTCACTTAATTTAAATCTGAACAGGGTCTCATCAACATACACATTTATGTTAAATTTCATCAAAATTGGATTAATACTGTAGTCTCAGTGATCTTTACAGATCGAATTTGACACCCTTTAATAGTCAAGGGCAATTCTAATTTAGAACTTAACTAAGATATCATCAACACAATATACATGGCATAGGCATACCAAGTTTCAATAAGATTAATTGTTGCCTTTATCATATTTTCACTATCTTCATTAGCCAATTAGGTTTATCCTTTTTCGTGTTTAAGCGTTAAATGAGTCAAGGGAAATAACTAAAAACTTTTCATTCGAGTAGCAGGCACACCAAAAATGATCTTATCGATAAATACATGCATACCAAGTTTCCTCATGATAAAAAAAAATGGAAATTATAATTTACATCTTGTCGACATGCTTAATTGGAAGTGTTTTTCCTAAAGACCGTGTCACAATGTCCCGAAATTGACACCAGATGTATACACGATGAAGGAAATGTTCAAATTCAGGTCTGATCGTATAAAAATATAGGGCCATTATAAGGGGGGTATTGTCACCCGAGAGTTAACTTTTCTAGAGGCAGTTTTCCTCAGGAATCCGAATCTGGGAGGTAAAGTGCCGGGTCAGGGGGCGTTTTTTTGAGTTATTCAATGTCAAAGGTCACAAAAGGTCAAATAACGCAAAAAACGTTAAAATTAAAACGAGAATGATCCACTAAATCTAGAAATACAAGGCAACTCTCGGTGGTTTTTATAATTTTAAGAAACTAACATGGCATGATTTATTAGTCTACCTCTCGAATATTTTGAAATTTTACAAATTTTTATGAAATGTGAATCCAAATTTTACTTCATTAAAGGGACAGATGCGCCTTCAATTCCATGTGTGTCCAGAATTATTTGCGTTTGAATGCCAAAATGATGACTCGTCATTTTAAGACTATACTCTGTGAAATATAGAAAAGAGTGAGTAAAACTCCTAGTTTGAGGTATTTTTGAAGGAAATATGAAATTTTCGTACATTTCTAGTACTTCTGATGACTATTTACATATTTTAAAATGCTGGAGACACTTTATATTACTATTACCATAGGATTGGAGATCTTTAAACTTTAAACTTCAAACAGGATATTTTTAGTTGTCAAAGGAAACTATGGTGGATTGTTAACTGGTCTTCGGATTATATTTATTACGTTGTTCAGTTTTCGGGTTGATAAAAACATGACATAAGAGATTCGATTATATCATTACGTACCATAAAGATTATTGAATTTGTCAGCATTCAAAATCAAAATGACTGGGAATGTAGATGAGTTTGAATGTGCTGTGTCATGCCAGGAACCTAAATTATTGGATTGTCATCATACATCATACCTGGCTAGTTCCAATTTGGCGGGTAGCCGCAACGCCATCAAATTTCCGTTGTGTAACAAAATCAGCAAAATTCCTGATGGCGGAGTGAGGAAGTTTTCAGCAAATTTTTATCTATCTGATCCATCAACGAGTTCAACAAACAGAATAGGAGATACAGATTACTGCTCAAAACATCCTAAGGAGGAGCTGAAATGTTTCTGTGAAGACTGTAACACCATTTTGTGTTCCTTCTTGGTCAACACCAAGTATTAATATTGAAGACTCTAACGACGTCATTTTAGAAAATTACAAAGATCAGAAAGACAGTCTGAAATGTAAGTTAGAAGAATTGAAAACAGTGAAGAATATAGCCGAGGATTCGTTGCAGAAAATCAACGAATATCGACAAACAGCATTGAGTAGTTGGCAGGCAGAACTTCAGAAAAATTATGATCAAAATCAGAAGAAACTGAACACTGTACTCAGTAAAGTGAATACCCTGAAATCTCAGATAGAGGAAGATAGTCGACCTATGTTTCTGGTCGACGACTTGAGTGACGGTGAGCCTGAAGGATTATCGACCGAACAGTTCACCGACGGCGTTTTAGACGAATTACTGTGATTCAGAGATTTTCAAATTGTTAGTTAATTTTTCATGCATGTACATGTACTAGTAAATGATTTATTTCGATAGGAGTTTTAACAAATACTTGATATTGCTTATGACATGATCAATGAGATCCGTCTTTCCATTGTGACCTTTCGTGACCTTTGACCTGGATTACCTCAAAGAATTGGAACTTATAGATAGTGCCGATTCACACTAATGGGCTTTCGCCAATTTCTAGATGATATCAATGAATTTGTACACATTTTGTAGTTAAATTCTATCATTTTTAACGTTTTTTGCGTTATTTGACCTTTTGTGACCTTTGACCTTGAATAACTCAAAAACGCCCCCCTGACCTGGCACTTTACCTCCCAGACTCGGATACCTGAGGAAAAATGCCTCTAGAAAAGTTAACTCATATTTTGCCCCCTCTCGGGAGACAATACCCCCCTTCTCCCTCTGGTCTAGTGAGGACATCCTAAGCCATCGCATGACCTCCAGTTGATTTTTTTATTTTTTTAGGCTTCGTGAGTGATGGCAAAATCTTTGCTATGCGAAAAAACGTTTCGAAGATTCAATTTTATACGCTAACATATAATGGAGAGGGGGGGGGGGGGCGTATATTGCCAAGGCACAATCCTTGACTGATTTCTACGAACTAGACGGTATAGTTGTTTGTAATCACCCAAGGATGAACCCTAATGAAAATCAGAAAAATTGAAAAAAATTTAGTATGAGTTTTTGCCATTGTTCTTAAAAACGCGTTCAATTTGTAGCACGTAAACACTCTAAAAGGCCCGATTCTTGACAGATTTTGATGAATATTTCATGCTGGTAATTGTACTGCCAAATATTTTTATTCAAAGCTGCCAGTGGGCGTATATTACCTTGCCTGGCAAGCTATCTTTCGTGTTGAATTCGTGTGTCCATTTTGCTCTTCGTAAGGGTATCTTGTTAAATCGTGTCATCTTCGGCTTGGTATTATCATCGGTACCATCAGCAATTATAGATATTCCCAAGTTGGTTGTTGCTGACTACTTTACAGGCTGCTTCCACGGTCGGCTGAAAGTTTTTTACCATCGGCAGGTCACAGGAAGCCTTCGTAACCATATTCGAAGACACTGTATTCTCATTATGAAGACCAATGAGATGCAGAAAAGTAGGACGTAAAACTCCATTTATTTCAGTTCATTTCTCATTATTGAGTTCTGTATCTTCGTGTGTGGTTCTGGTGTCGTCGTGTGACGCTCAAGGCATCGTACTAATTTCAGTCTAAGGCAGGCCTCCCACTGTGCGATTCCGCTGCGATGTCGTGCACAAAATCTAGCTACGAAACGATGCTGTGTATTGTGAGGGCGTGTGCTACACGACAAAGCAAGCAACGCGTGGGGCATCTTGTAGCGTAGAATTTTCAGTTTGTCAAAAAGTGTAACGGAATCGTGGCCAATCGTACCAAGCATGCGCTGTGATGATTTCGTCCAATTCCATTGGCTGCAACTCAGAATTCAAATTGTCGCCCGACACAGGTATAGCCTAGAAAGAATGAAAAATTGATTGACTGGGTGGAGATTTGCTTTTGCAAGATTATTCATTTTCTACATTGCAGACTCTTAGAGAGAAAGCACAATACAATAAATAAATAGGTGCTGTTAGTACTTATCTTAAAATACCAAATCTTAAGTGTCAATACAGCAGTTGTGTTAAATTTCATGATACAATTACAATAAGATATGAAAATTGGAGGAAAACTGTAAAAGGTTTAATTAGTTCAGAGGCAATAAACCAGATTCGAAAAAATCGTAAACTAAGAATTTATCCCAGATCTTAACACTTGGAAAAATACCAGTTTGTCTCATATGTCCATAATTAATTCATAATTAGCTAAATTAGAAGAGAATTACCAGCAGAATTCCAATGAGTGACCGATCTAGAAAGGTCAAAAAGTCTTTTTGGTTTATCCAGACTGTACATACATGATTATATGCAATAAGAACATAATGATATGATTAAAAATACATGATAACTCATTAGAAACATCAAATATTTTTCTTAACTTTTGGCACTAAAAAACAAGGAAACCCACCTTTAATGAAATTGAAATACTTATCAAAACTGTAGGTTCCGTAGTTATCACAATAATAAGTTTTAACAATGTCAATCAAGGGGAATCAACTTCATCCACTTATCATAATGATCACACCAAAATTTTAGAAAGATTATAACTCACAAACGGATTTTTGAATCAAGTTAGGAGCAATAAAAACTTTATCAATCACAAATTGAAATAAAAACCGCAGCTAGTTTTAATAACAGATTTCACACCAATATTCATAACTGTTTGAATGTAATCAGCTAAATGTGCACACACATTCTTAAACTTAAATTTTAATTAAAAAAGAACTCAACAACTTCAAACTGGTTCATGATATCATGAATCAAAATGTTCACACTAAATTTCATATAAATCAAGTGAAAACTGTAGGCTATTGTTCTGTCAAGAAATGTTCACTGTTAGATGCCAAACTGCCAAAAAACTGGGTAACAACAATATACTTCTATATTTTCATATGGTGCTTAAGGATGGGTTCACTATATGCTATTCCTTATATGAATAGAAAGTAGAGGTGTTTCTAATGACATGGAAAAATACCAGTTTGTCTCACATGTCAATAATTAATTCATAATTAGCTAAATTAGAAGAGAATTACCAGCAGAATTCCAATGAGTGACTTATCAAGAAAGATCAACAAGTCTTTTTTTGTTTATCCAGACTGTACAAACATGAGCATTTATGATTGGTTAAAACTATTAATAATATGCGATAAGAACATGAAGATATGATTAAGAATACATGATAATTCTTTAAAAACACCAATTTGTCAAATAGTTTGCTTAATTTGACACAAAAAATAAGGAAACCCATCTTTAAAATATGTGGAAATATGATGAAATTAAAGTTAACTGTAAATAAATAAATGTAATAAATATAATAAGTATGTAGTTGGATACCAGGTGATATTACTATAACAGGTAGATCACAAAAATTCTTCTATTGTACAGTTTCAAGTCCAAAACATTTTCCCATCAATATTGAATAAATTTATACTGTTTTATTCAGACTTAAGTCATTGTTTAAAGGATAATACCTCTTAGAAAGGACACCAAATTTCAAATTCAAACTTGCAAATATTCATCAATTGAACTTACCAGGTGTCATGACTAAAGAATCTCTATATAACACCATATATTCATTAACCAAATAATTATTGAAAAGTGCATCTTAGCTAAGCATGTTTCAAAATTAAACTAGTCGTTTTTCAACAACTTCTACACAAAATAACAGAGAAAATCAGCAATTTTATCACAAAATACAAAGTGGGAGTTATTTGGATAGTATTCTGATTTCATAAAGTAGTCCATTACAATTAATATATTAAAATGTGTCAAACAAGCTATCAATGAAATATATACCACAAAACTATTTACTCAAACTATCTTTAAAAACTTTAAGAAAAGATGAAAACATTTCCATCTTTTCTCGATGCATTTTTTCTAATTTGTCCATTTTAATTTTATCTTGTTTTCTTCTCTCCTCGTTAAATGTTTTCAAAACAGAACTAAAGCTTTGTATATCTGAACTACTCTGAGTCTCTGAACAATTTAAATTCAAAAACTTTTTCTTTTTCTGTAAATTTGTGTCAGTATCTGTAAAGTCTTCACTATTTCTTTTCCCACCTCTTATTTGAACAACTGATTGTTGCATGGAGGGAGTTTGAGCACATTCAGGTATATAGTGATACACTTCAGATAATTCTTTAAAAAATGCACAAGTTCTGGTAACAATATGTCCATTTTTAAGATTATGATTGACTACATCTCTATATGCTTTCGTTAATGATTTCCATTTATTTTCAACCTGTACTGAAGCATAGTTAAATCCTTTTTGTTTCATCTTCTTAGAAATCATCTCCCATACAGCTCTTTTCTTATATTCTGAACTTTGAAAGTAATGATCATGTTGTTGATGTAATGATATCAGATCTAAAGTAGCTTGTTTAGACCAGTTTGTAGTTGCGGCAGTATCTAGTTCAACTTGCTCTTCTTCTCTGCTTGGCATCTGTATAATCTGCATTACCTCCTGTCTACCATTATCTGTCCCTGTACATTCTAAATCAGATGTTGTCAGGGAAACAATTTCCATTGTCATCAGATTTAACCTGTAATATATTTTATACAACTATTATGGTATGAATTAAAGTTCTAGTTTGTAATTAATTGTTCATTGAGTAATGAAATGGCTTTTGTTGATGTCAAGACATTTTGATGATTAATCATCTCATTTAGAAAGATAAACATCAACACTGTTATTATTTTCAATCTCATCCATTTTCACCAAGATATTTAAAAAATTGAACTGTACAAAGAAAGATAGTGGACCACAGCCATATACGCCCATCATGGCATGCGGATGGTAAATATTCAAGATTTTGGGGCAAGGGCAATAACTCTGCTTCTAGTGGTCGAAAATAGCTCAAATTCGAACTGGATCTTCGTTTTATGAATATGTATACACATACCGAATTTCATTTGATTCCATAAAAAAATCTAGTTTTTAGAGCGTTTACAAGCAAATGTTGATGGACCAACGTACGGACAGGGGTGCCAACAATATATGTCCACATAGAGAGATGTGGGCGTATAAAAAACAATAATTAATGTTGTATCACATTTATGATGTGGAGAATTTCTATAGCAAAAATGTGTATATAATAAACATTTGGCTTTGTGTAATATTTATATATATTACTGGTAGGTTGAGCACTAAAATTCTATTTAAGAGAGTAGGTTGAAGACTTCAAGGGTCTTAGAATGACTTTTATATCTATGACTTAAAGTGACTTTTCAATGATAAAATGCAGATAAAAGCACTTAACATTTACACTTTACACTTACAATTCTTTCTACAGTATTTTCTATTCCAAAGATAGCTTGCCAAGGTACTATACGCCCACTGGCAGCTTTGAATTTGAAAAAATTTATTTGGCAGTGCAATAACTATCACCAGTATGAAATATTCAACCTTCAGTCATACACTTCTTTTGAACTCTTTAGCACAATACTGAATAATATTGAGTATGAGTTATTGCCCTTGTTCTTGAAAACATGTTAAATATTTAGCTCGTGACTGAATAATAAAACCAAGTTTTGTCAAAATCCAGCAAGAATCATGCCTTTTAGTGTTTAAGAGCTAAATTTGATTTTCAATAGGGTTTATCCTTGGGTGATTACAAACACTCATGCCAAGTTTCGTTAAAATCCATCAAGAATTGTCCCTTCTAGAGTGTTTACTAGCTAAAACTTGATCGCGTTTTCAATAGCAAGGGCAATAACTCATACTAAATATTTTTCAATTCTTCTGATTTTCAATAGGGTTCATCCTTGGGTGATTACAAACACTCACACCAAGTTTCGTCAAAATCCGTCAAGAATTGTGCCTTCTAGAGTATTTACAAGCTAAAATTTTAACGCGTTTTCAAGAACAAGGGCAATTACTCATACCAAGTATTTTTCAATTTTTCTGTTTTTCAATACGGTTTAGCCATGGGTGATAACCAACACTTATGCCAAGTTTCGTAAAAATCCATTAAGAATTGTGCCTTCTAGAGTGTTTACGAACTAAAAATTGAACGCCTTTTCAAGAACAAGGGCAGTAACTCATACTAAATATTTTTCAATTTTTCTGATTTTCGATAGTCTTTATCCTTTGGTGATCACAAACATTCACACCAAGTTTCGTCAAAATCCATCAAGAATTATGCCTTCTAGAGTGTTCACAAGCTAAAATTGAACGCGTTTTCAAGAACAAGTGCAATAACTAATACTGAATATTTTTCAATTTTTCTGATTTTCGATAGTCTTTATCCTTTGGTGATCACAAACACTCACACCAAGTTTCGTCAAAATCCATCAAGAATTATGCCTTCTAGAGTGTTTACAAGCTAAAATTGAACGCGTTTTCAAGAACAAGGGCAATAACTCATACTAAATATTTTTCAATTTTTCTGATTTTCGATAGGGTTTATCCTTGGGTGATAAAGAACACTCATACCAAGTTTCATCAAAATCTGTCATGAATTGCAACTTCTAGAGTGTTTACGAGCGTTTCAAGAACAAGGGAAATAACTCATAGTAAATATTTGATTTGTCTGATTTTCAATAGGGTTCATCCTTGGGTGATTACAAACAACCATACCAAGTTTCATCAAAATTAGTCAAGAATTGTGCCTTTTTTATACACCCACATGAATATGTGGTCATAATGAAGATCTTCCATACGAGACATTTCCTATTATTATTATTAAGATCTTTAATATATTTTTGGTCAATCAAGAATTAGTTATCATCTCTACTAGCTGCCAGTCGGCATATGTTACTTTGCCTGGCAAGCTATAAAACAATGAATGTCCAAATTTTTTTTTGCAATGAAATTCTTAATCTGTCCTTGCCCAAGATTACTATTTTAATGTTGATATTTTAATTCATATAAGCTTGATCAATTGACATTGACAATAGTAAGAAGACAGTAGTCACAGCTATATCTACTACAGTCAATTTGATTTGACCAATTATCTTTAGGGGAATAAGAATATAATCCGATACATCCAAAAAACTTAGTAATTATGCAAAAATATGCAATTAACTATTGAAAGATAGCTTATGAGGCAAGATAACATACGCCCACTGGCAGCTGTCAGAAATGATAAAACAGTATTTAGTGACAAAAGTACGAATTTTCTCATATTGAAGAAATTTTATTAGTTTGAATTCAATTACATATATATATATGCCAGTTATTTATGCTGAGTAATTCCACAAAATTTTTTAAAATCAATATCAATAACCCAAATACAACAAACAATTAAATCACACAGCTCTAATCAAGGGCAAAAAACAACTTTTGACGCGTGTTTACAAAGTCAAGGGCAATAACTCAAAAAAAGTTCATCAAAAATATCTCAAGTTAGAACTTGTCTGAGATCTTTTTAATTCCAATGATCACACCAAGTTTCATCAGAATCGGTTGAAAACTGTAGCTTCAATCCTGCTCGCGAACTATTTTTAACAAATTTCGACGCGTTTTAACAAAGTCAAGGGCAATAACTCAAAAACAGTTCATCGAAAATGTGTCAAGTTAGAACTTGTCCGAGATCTTATGAATTCCAATGATCACACCAAGTTTCATCAGAATCGAATGAAAACTGTAGCTTCTATCCTGTTCACGAACAATTTTTAACAAATTTCAAGGCGTTCTAAGTTAAGGGCAATATCTCAAAAACTGTTCATCGAAAATATGTCAAATTTGAACTTGACTGAGATCTTATCAATCTAAAGCATTACACCAAGTTTTATCAAAATCAGATAAAAACTGTAGTCTCTATAGTGCTCACAAGAAATGTTGACGGACCGACGGACAGGGGCAACGACAATATATGACCACATATTCATGTGGGCGTATAAAAACGCTTAATATCAAATCAAGATTAAGCGTTTTTCAATAATTATTTAGTTTTATGAATTTTCCAATTTTCCAGAACTTACAGGGATTCTGTTCACGAACAATTTTTAACAAATTTCAAGGCGTTCTAAGTTAAGGGCAATATCTCAAAAACTGTTCATCGAAAATATGTCAAATTCGAACTTGACTGAGATCTTATCAATCTAAAGCATCACACCAAGTTTTATCAAAATCAGATATTTTGTGTCATTTTGTGTGTGTAAAATTAAACTTTTAAGAATATGACCATATCTTGATTCTGGATTTTTTTTTCTTGTCTCTGCTGTAGCTACAGGTCTGCAAGGGTGTGAAATGACATTAAAGATGAGTCGTCTACCAGGTTAACAATTTCATAAATATTTTGTCTTGTGTCAAAGACAAATACATAAATATATCTACAAGTGGCTATATTGTCACTGAAATAATCAGTCAATATCATAATTAATCTCCCATGTTATTATTAATAATCAAAATTGCTTTTACTGAAAAATGCTGTTTTATGCAAATAAGCCCACCCCCCCCCCCCCCCAACTTTTGCTGTGGTTTTTCCCTTTGTAGCATTAGTAATTCTCCTGTTCAGGTCCAAAGAAATATCCCATGACCATCATTTGGACTGGAAGCTCCCTGACTCTAGTTGACAAGGCCTATACACACACAAATTTTCATTGTAAAATCCAATTTTTTTATTTTATCCATTAGACTTGGCTGAAATGAGATTCCGTGGGGTCATTCGTTTGTCGAATCCAGTTTTGGTTGGAAGTTATTTATAAACCAGTTGCGGTTTTTCAATGAATATTCTTGTTGGGCGTCATAAATTTATGAATAGATGACAACATTTCAAACATTATTAATAAATATTGTATGTACTCCTAGATATTTATCGTCAGAAACGTTCAATTAATACTAACCAAATAAAACAATCAACAAAATTCTTTCCTCTTCTACTGGTTCCGGTTTAGGTGTGGTTGAAAATTAACTCCCCTTATACATCTCAGTCTTTATTATCCAGCCGTATTACAAGCTGAAAAGTTCTAAGTGAAAGATCCGTACTTATTCAATGGTTTTCTTTATTTCTCTACCGTCCCCTTTAACACACTTTTGCCAGCGATTCAGCAAGCCTTGATGCAGATCAAGGAGAAGCTTTCTTCAGCCACCTTTAAAAAAAATCAGTCACCACGGAATTTAGCATCATTAAGCTACTTAAGCGTACTGGGATAAGAAGAAAATCATCGGTATTTCAGGAATCTGACACGATTCTGATACGCTGTCCAAAGCTTGGGTAGGCTACCAGTCTCGCAGACGAGTTGGAAATATGACAAAAGTTTTTGTAGAGTGGGTGCCAAAGCTCTCATGAAAGATGTCATTTATATGCATATAAGATATTTAAACCCGAACTTCTTAAAGTGTACAGTGCCCCCCCCCCCCCCCCTTCCCTCACCAGTGATGCAGGTAAGAGGGGCTGACATGGAAAAAAATGTCTAATCGTTCAGATGGGACAATAACCGAGGCCCTGCGTGCTACAGGATGTGCCATTAAAGATCCCTCGACAGTTGAAAATCGAAAAAGTGCAAGCTAATGCCACTGTCTTAAAAACATTTCCCCCATTGCACCCTGCATGGTGTTGCCCGCCTTCATTAGCTCACATGGTGTAGAAAAGTAGGACGTAAAACTCCATTCATTTCATTTCATTTTTTGTATACAGTGGAAAAGGAAGGGGCATCAACACCTAACGTTTGTTTCATTCAGGGAGGTTACCACTGCTCTGAACTCTCAATAGATTCAGGGGCCGCTTAAATTGACCAATATAGGCCTATCCAGCAATGGCATAGCTCATGTTTTAAGGCAACTTTATAAGAAGAAATACTTTTATAATCTCTTTATGTAGGATTTGGACTTTGGACCATATTAAACTATTTTATTGTACCTAAATATACAAAATGTTTACTAAAAAATATTATTAGTCATGCAGTAGGCCTATCACATTACCGTTAAAAAGTATCCATTCGACCGTTTTACATAATTTCTACAGTTGTATAGCTTCACGCATAATAACATATAAAATTTGTTTTCGATCTTAAAAACGACTGAATAACACCAATTTACGTTAGGTATTTTGTTATTTATTTATTTTTTTATATCATTTAGGTAACAAACAAGAAATTTCCTTGCAATTCATAGATTTACGCCTTCTAGAGCGTTTTATACAAGCTACAAATCGAACGCGTTTAGCGTTTTCCGGAGCAACAGCTTAAAATTACTTTCGTTAAATATTTTTCAATTTATGATAAGAATCATCCTTAATAAAATACTAAAAAATATCAAGTTTGTCATAGAATCCATATAGATTTGTGCCTTTTAGAGAGCGGTAATGAGCATATGGGACGAAATAGCTTTTCAGAGTCTTTACGAACAATTATTGCGGACAGTGGTAACGAGGACAATATACCTATTACATACGATTATCTATACTAAAACATTTCCGTTATTTTAATAATACTCCAACCAGACTAGTTTAGAAACCAATACATGTATAGGTGTAATTTATATTAAAACATTGAACCGCGCCCAACCACATAGCTATTATCCAATCAAAAAGTTAAAACTTGTTCTTTACTTTTAGGTTGACTTTTCATTTTCACAACTAATTTATATCAAAATAAACCGCAATAGGTTTAGATAATGAGTGGATTTTAATTTTCTGGACATGTTACCTAGTGTCATTTTTTGTGTTGCCAAAACAGAGTGTATATAAACATCTTGTGAAATTAGTGATGCGTTTGACCTACTTTAACCAGCCCGTGAATAACTGTATTTGACTCGTAGCCTATTGATAATTAATTAACACAAGAATTAGCACGCTTTAGGACTGAAATGCAATATACGCAGTAAGTACAAGAAGAAAATTGTTTTAATCTTCATTTGGTTGTAATAGAATACAACAAATATCCTCAAACTAGTTTGCCTCACACAGTTCTATATTTAGATGCACTTAGTTCGTTTAAATTGCAAGTTTATTTATCTGGCTAGAAAGCATGAACATTGATCATTTTAAGAAATGTTTTCTGCATGGATCATATTTTCTGACAGCAAGGCTAAAGAAATGAATCTATTACCAGAAAGGAATTGTTACGATTTATCTAATATAATGATTGCATATAGGTCACTGTCTCATTACTCGCTGTCCTTCGACCGGAAAACTTTCTATATCCTATTGTACAATATTTAGACGAGTTGACTACAGTAAATAAAATGTTTCAGTGTTAAATTGAAATCAGAGAATGATAACAAACAGGAACTTTATTCAAAGTGTGGTATTATGCTTTTTAGTGACGAGTCTCAATTAGAAATGCAATGAATCATCAGTTTTCTAGGCCTACTTTTCTGCACCGGATTTTGGTTGATAAATACGGGTAGCGCCAGACAGTGCGTATATATATATAATGAGGGAAATTGTGCCAGGATAGCGGCATTGTCTCTCCGAACGGCATCATTTACAGGGGAAAACAGGGTTGAAAAATCTGAAATTATTATATCGACCTATGACGAGATTGAACCTTTGAAATTCAGATTTGCGAGCTAGTCTAAAACACTCAATGATCCACCGCGGCTCCTCAAGTCTCAATTAGGGCATAAAACCTTTGAAGTGAACATATTACCTAAATTTCTAAGGATGTCCTTAGAATCTATCTGAGGTTCTATCCTCAATCAAAGTGGTATGCAGTCTAGAAAATGTTCTTAAATATGTCTTTAAGGTACCTAATCAGTAAATTATTCTTAGCAGGTGAACTCACGATAGCTGCCAACCCAGCGATTGTTGAGGTAGAGAAAGTCCAACGCAATTTGCGACGTCTTAGAAATATTCCGTGACCGTGAGAACCCTATACTATGGATATCTGCAATAATCAAAGAGTTGTACATGAGATTTCGCTTTAACAGAGTGGGTATTTTCTTCATCACAGATCTACTGGCTAATAAAATAGAGCCTCGTACCTACAGGAACCATGCTATCCCTCCTTGACTACAGGTGTTCGTTGCTCTGAGGTTTTATACATGTGGTAGCTTCCATCAGGTTATTGCAGACGCTATAAAGATACACCGAAGCACAGTAGCCTTATCGGATTGTAATAACCGTGCTCTTATCAGAAGGATTAATGAATCCAACTTCCTGCTATCAATTCTGTCTTTTATGAAATCGCCAATTTCCCTTATGTAATAGGTGTTGTTGATGGTACTCACATAAAGATAATATCCCTAAATGATCATGACGCCGACTATGTGAATCCGAAGAACTACCATTCTATAAATGTACAGGCCCTAGGTGATGACCCGGCAGCACTCAAGACTCATGAAAGTGAAATGGGAGAATCATTTGAAAGAAGAGAACATAACGTCGTATACTACTAAGGGACAGCGGGTATCTCTGCCTGCAAATCCTGGATTCTCATCCCATATCTTACCCCCAAAATCGCCCCAGCAGAGATATAATAGAGCACACTGTCTCTGTGATGAAATTCGTGTGGATTCTAGCAACAGATAACAGTGCAGTAAGGACATTCTTAAGGTGGTCTATGCAACATCCTTAAATATCGTCCTTGGCTAAGGATTTTCTTAACTGGTTAAGGAAAGATTTTCACTAAAGTTTTATACATACGGGCCCTGGGTCAGAGAGCAATATTATTTAGGGTTATAAAGGTTACTTATTAAAATCTCACACAAACACAAATAGTTCAGCTTATGATCTCTTGTCTTTTCTCATATTCAAAACTGAATATTAAGGTTCAAAATAATGGCGATTGACTATTATGGCGTCTTTGGTAGTTATAGAATTAAATGTCACAACGAGGGGGGATTATCTGATTATCGTGTTGAATATTTAGTTCATTTGCCAACACGGTGTGTTGATTAATCCAGTTTAGTGTACAAGAGTTATTATATAATACTATCAAGTCTGGATACGAGTCTTGTTTTATCCTATGCTATTGACTATTTCGTAAAACAAAATCGTCAAAACTGGTAAAGTCTGTATGCGAAATACCTACCACTAAAATCGATAGTTATCCTCATTTCTCGTGGTACAAATAAACATAGTACAGGGCACAAGGTATATCAAATATTTGTAACCTGTATAGTGTCAAACAAGCGACACTAGTGAGCCCATATGTAAGGTACTTCCTTATAACTATGACTTTATCAATCATATATACAGGCAAATATGTTTGACCTCCCATATATTAATAGGTCGTTTCTGAAGATTCCTGACTTGATCAAGAAATGAAACTGCTAACATAAATTTACAAATCCTAATGTTAAATTTCGTCGTCACAATTTCTGTATATGTGTTTGCACGAAGGCAAACATTTTTAACAATCAGTGTTTATGCTTAAAACTACCATTCATCATATGAGAATAATGATACTAAAGGGTATAAAGCATAGGCTACAAGACAAATTAATTCATTGCTTTATGATAATTTCTCTATTTTAGATATGGATGGTCTACTAAGAAATAAGCTACCAAAACAGTTTCAACCATTATTTAAAGCCCAAAGAACTCAATTCCAAGAGAAAGTTTTGGTTACATTTCGGGAGCCGTACATACTACGTGGTTATCGATTAACTAACAAACCATGGCATTATTATTTAGTCAGTTTATTTAATTGGCATAATGAAACGATAAATATATGGACACATCTTTTATCTTTTATTTACATAGTATTGCATATAATCAATTTATGTGAAAAGTATGATGTAATGAATACAAGTGAAGGCGCTGTTGTATTAGGTTATTCTTTCGGTGCCTTATCGTTGACGTCTTTTAGTACCATAGCACATCTCTTTCATTCGAAAAGTTTACGTCATCATTACGAATTTTTTATGCTGGATTATTTTGGTGTTTCTTTATATTCCCTTGGGTGTGGTATTCTAACTATTTATAGATTTTGTCCCGAGAACAGCTTCCAGATTTTGCAAACATTTTATCTTCCGTTACATTTAATTCTGTGTTATAACAACTTCTTGTCAATTAGTACTGCTAAACTTTATTTCTTTGGAGTGATTCGTAAATGCTTGACAGTGTCAGCATGTTTATTGTCTACAATATCAATGTTGTATCCTTTATTGTGTACATATTACGAGTGTTTCAACGATACAGCTTGTCATATTTCTTCTTTAAATCATCTTGGATTAATGTATGTGTTCTTGTTTCTTTCAACGGTTGCTTATCTTGCTCATCAACCAGAAATGTCCAACCTGGGAATGTGTGATATAGTAGGACATAGCCACCAGTGGTTTCATGTCTTTGTATTTTGTACAATATTAGCTCAATACAATGCTATGGAGAAAGAGATAGATCTGAATAAAGGAGTAATTAGTGAAGTTCAGTTATCAACTATAGTAATCTACTTTTTACTATTATTAAGTCTTAATTCAGTAACATTTTTGTTTCTTCAACCAGCTTTAAAACGGAAAGTGGTTGATATAGAAAATACCAACCATATAAAACAGAAATAGTTTCATGCACGACATTAATTTTGTGATATGCCTTAGCCATTTTAACTGCACAATCCGTTTCTACTTAGTAAAACAACAAATTGACTTCTGCTCGTTATTTTCTAAAATATATATATTTTTTGTTTTGTTTTTGACCAATTGAGGAATGGATTTATTTTGTTATCAGAAAGTGTGTACTTTTGTAAAGTTATTTTTTAAATATTATATTATAATTATGCAAATTATTTTATCTTTTTTTTGTGGATTCTTATATATGAATAGGATACCCCCGTCTCACTGGGATGCTGATGGCAAAAGAAAATTAGCTAGACATCGTGCCTGGTCGAACCCAATTCCAACTATCAGCTTTAGCTCGAATTTGCAATTGGCATGAAGCATTTAGCACAAACTTCCCAAAAGTAATTTCCATGACCAAATTGCCTTCCAAATGCTTTCCAGATGTAGGTCAATTCTTCCCAAACTCATTATTTTCCTCTTTAGGGTAGTCATCCGGAAGGCATTTTGTTCTCGTTAGCAAAATTTACAGGCAGTTTTTGACCATATGCTTAATTAAAGTGGTTGCTGAAATTAGGATACTAACAATCGCTAATACAATAAAATTACTTTTAATTATAATTTACAATAGTTTATTTAAAACAAGTATAAGTTTATACAACAAGGATGATTGAAGATGATATGATGATGTGGACTATATACATTTATAATCTATCACATTCAGGCAGTCAATTATAGATAGAAAATAATTGTTCCATTATAACAAGGAAATATTCGAAGTGAACACAAAGAAATGCGATTTTAAGTATTGGGACCATAAATCTTAAAAATAGTATATCATTTACACGTAATTACAAAAAGGATTATTTGCCCTTATCTTATGAAAATACCAAAATATTGCACAAATCTGCATTAAATAAATAAAAGCCATCTGAAGCAATCATAACAATATTTTTCAACAGAGTAAACAGATTCAAATAAATTATTCCTGTATTTTTGTACACATTATTTAGATTGTGTTATTTGAGTGATCGAGATTCCAGCGGTTAAAAAATCGGTTGAAATAAAACTCAAATGAAGAAATATTTAGTCCATTATTTCGTTATATTTACTAACTCTAGCGCTTTTCTGCGAAAAAATGGCACGAGGGACAACACTTTCGATATGACCTCAAATGTTGATACAAAATGACTAACTGATAATACTGTTTATTCCTTAAAAAAACATGCCGCCCTTAGATAACAAGTAAAATGGATTTCAGAAAAGGGAGGGAATGCGTCTTAAATTCTGATACTCTATTGATGCAGTAAGGTAAAATATCCTATAGTATTGTTCAGATTCGTGGATTTGTGGAAACTTCAAATTTTACGCAGAACATTTTAATAGTGGAAAGACAACAGTCCTTCCTCAGATCCACAGTGATTGATTTACCTGTGCAGAATGTATTAGATTTAAAATAATGATAGGATTAAAATTTACTCTCCTAGAAAATAATTTGTATCCCCACTTTATTTCTTAAAAAATAGAATTTTCATACGTTTAAGCACCAGAATATGAATTAGGATCATGAGGGTGGCGCGCTGCTACAGATGAGTATTATAATTTATTCCTATGCGTTCATTACAATTAAACTACAAATATAAAGCTATTGCTACTGTTAAAAATAAGATTTTCTTCTTGAGTTCTTGATGTCGCAAGATAAATGACTGGAGTATTGAAGATGTTGAAGATGAGAAGATTACTGTTCCCTGATGATAAATATCTAAGACATGGATTCATCGTTATTTGAACTGCTGTAAAAGCTACTCTATACAAAGGCGTATAAATACACGGTTCTTGAAGTATTGATGGAAATCGTCAGTCTTTCATATGAAGTCTTCTGATCGCCGATGCCAAAGTAGCAAGTTTTGTATCGATGTAAAAAAAAAAGCCTTTTGGGTATTTTCCGCAGAGATACATTGAATTGAAACTTTGAAATAATAAAGGATGAGATGCCTGCCAAAATTCAATTCAGCAACCATTATGGCAAAAAAGGTTTTGACAACAATATCACAAATTATCTGAATTAAGTCATTATAGCGCTGCCATGATCCTACAGAGGATTCCTTTCCTACCGAAATGATTGGCTTTCAACTAGGTGGACTGTGCACCAGTTCTGTTAACGGAAATCTACCGCTTGAACATACTTTTTTTTAACTTTGTCAATATTCATCAGTGGGACAACCAGGTGCCATATAAAACGACATATCCATTAAACTAAGTAATTATTGAATCTCGCTTCTAAGCACGTTTTAAAACTACTTTGTTCACTGGATTATTACTTCGTTTTATGGATTTATTGGATTTTAGAGGGATCCTCTTGTATAGTTTTGACACGAGTCCATTGATGAACAAGGGAATCATTTTAGTCAAGTTTAAAATTTTAATTTTATGGTCATCCCAAGAGGTAGTATAACTTAAAATACACATCTGTAATGAGTTCAATGTCTTATTCTATTGATTCTTAAAAAGGTTAGGTTATACCAACGTATACAATGGGCATAATTTATCTCTGTGACGGACATCTACGAAGCCCGGGTGAAATTTTTCATTTAAGGTTGTAAATCTCGTATCTCGGTAGCTAGTTTTAGGGCATGAGTGGTAATAAATTCCCATTCAAGTGATGGTGAACACTGCCACACCGAGTTGAGTGAAGAACTGTATCTTGGTTGAATTGTAATACGAATTCCGGATATGGTTCATCAATCCCTGCAGGCCTCAAACAACACAGTCTGAAATGTCTGCCTCTATTCGAACCTCTGATGGATATTTTGACAGTTGTCAATGGAGTAGAGTCAGGAAAATAGGCCCTGTTGTATAGAGACTGTTGTATAGAGATTCTCCACACCTCCGAAGATGACTTTTTTTCTGTCTATACACCAGTCGACATCTGTCTGTATAGCTATCAGAGGATGGAAAGGAGACAAGTGTTTCGGTCTTCTAACAATATATAGAACAGTTGGATATTAAATCATAAAGAATTATTTATGGTGATTCTTTTTTTACATCATCATGTTATATATAATACAATTAATTCTCCTACTGTCTCTTGAGCAAATAGTTAACCAAGACAAAAACAAAAATAACAATTCAAATAAGTCAAAAACTTTACCATATATCATATTGCTCTAATCTTTGTGCTGATTATCTGAATTAAAAGGGGAGTATGCACGAGGTACACAATAACAAGAACTGTTAATTTCTCCTTTTGAGAACATATCATTATATATAAATTTCTGTTAAAATTGTAAATGGACTCAGACCAATAAAATATTTTATGCAAATTGTATATGAATGTAGTCTGTGCTATTTTAAGAATTTTTCTCTCCCCCCACCCTTAATTGTCAGTCTAGTTTTGGAATATGATGCCCAAAATTGCATTTTCTTTCAGATTTTTTGAGATATGAAAAGATTTATAGGTTGAAATCTAGAAATAGATTTTCATGTGACATATTACACAGTTTTCAACAAGACTTCTGAAAAAGGTTATAACCATTGTGGTTTAATGTGTAAAAAGAGGGTAGATGTTCTGAATAATCAATCTTGAGTTACCGTATCTATTAATGTTATCAGATGGAGTAATAATTGTTTTATGAGGCTTCACTTGCTTTTGATAGAGTCTAATTTTTAAACTTTTTACAATAACCTTCAGTTTTAACTCTGTTATTTTATAGACATTTCAAAATATACAAAATAGAGTCTGTGCATACTCCCACTTTACTATTGTTTCAAAAGAGAAATAGTTTGTGCACATCTTAGAATAAAACCAAACATTCTACTTTATTTCTTTTAAGTTACAATGTTACAACTTATGAACACAAATTAAGTCTACAGGTCTGTTTAGTTTCTACCTCAAATTACAGTAGAATGTTCCTGTTAATATTTAGAATTGTTCCCAGATGTGCATCAATATTTTTGCTTGACTACAACAGAAACAACATTTATCTTTGAACTTTTCAAACAAGTTGCATTTAAAGTTTCATTGTACGTTTGATATGGTAACATCCTGACCATACATGCCAAATTAAAGGTATACTACCTCTTAGGATGACCAAAAAATCAAAATCTTTAAACTGGGTTGATCATCAGTGGACTTACCGGGTGTCATAACTATACGAAAGAATCCCTTGATAATCAAATAAATCCATTAAAAATCATGTTTCAATAATTATTTAGTTTAATAGATATATGATGTTATATAGAGATTCTATTCTTTAGTCATGACACCTTTTAAGTCCAACTGATGAATATATACATTTGTTGACCAAGTTTGAAACTTTAAATTTTTTGTTATTTCTAAAAGGTAGTATCCTTTTAAAGATTCGAATTGAAGTTTAAATAATACAAATTGTGTTTCAACAACTCTGTAAAAACACATGAATTGCCCTGCACAGTTTTTTTTTGACAAAGGCACTAAATTGATTTCCATAAAATATAACAGATTCAATGGTCCATAAAAATGGAAATAAATATTTTGTAATATATTAAAATAATATTATGCACATAATGTTTTTATACATCCTGAGTATTTTTTCACTAAAAATAATTGTTTGTAAATAAAGGCACCTTAATGAACACCAATAGAAACTAGCACTTTTTATCAAATTACAAGTAAAAAACGTTTCCAGTCTGTTTTCTGTGTGAAAGACAGTTTATGCCATTATGCACTATAAATAAGTTTCACAATTTGATTTTCTCGTTGTATACAATGAATTATGAACACATGAAATGAAATGTTTGGTGTCACACACCTTCATTTCTTTGAGACAAGTCTTCAGAACTTATTAAGTCTGTTGAAGGATTTCCTTGATGATTTTGATCTGAACTATTTTGTGATTTGTTGAACGTTGTGAATTCGATTGTTCCTTCTGAAAATAAATAAAGATATTTGACTAACATTTTTACAATAACAAAATCTTTTCACTGTTAAAATAGTGCTTAATACATTAATTTTACAGTAATATAGAAATTTTAAATATTAAAACAGAACCTGAAACATGTTGATTTACAACTGACCTATTTCAGCTGATGTCCCTACTCAGTGGAATTTGTTTTCGTGTCAGCACTTTAATACAAGCTGACATTATATGTAAAAAGAAGTGCAATTATGACTTTTAAATGAAAATATACTGTAGCAGCCATTTTTTAAAAAGACAATATGTGAATTCTACCTACCATTACTACTGAGGTCTGTGTTGGTTGCTTGATCACGTGTGAGATTTTCACCATTATGACGATGTTTTCCTCTATGTCTCTGTTTACTATGACCTGAATGCTTATGTGATAAACTATCATGTGACTGATTCAGATCCAAATTTTGGGAAAGTCTGTGAGAAATTCTTTCATGGGATTGATTGCAGAGTCCATAGCCTGGCAATACTGAGGATGGCATTGGAGAATTCCTATCACAGGTATCACCACCTGAATACACTGTATCACTATCGTATGTATGTTCAGGTAAAGTTTGATCATAATGATGATTTGAACAACAGTCATAATTATATACAATAGCTTCATTATTATCACCAGTATGATCACTTTTATTATTATCACAAAGCATAGGTTGTGATGCTTCTTCATTTGAGAGCATCACTTTTTTATTACTGTTTATATTATTAAAATTATTATCACTTGTATTTACATGACCAAATGCCCTTACACTACCATTACCAATATGATTCTAAAAATAAAAAAAAATATAACTTGAATTCAAATTTTCTAAATATTTTCCTCTGATCAATAGAGCACAAGCACTATGCTACTATGGTCCATGCTATTCAGCTAGTTACTGACATTCTCCCTTGTATTTATAATTGATGAAACCATAATATCAGTTGATATACATAGGGATGTATCATATATCATCTTGATTTTCAAATACTTATATAGCTTAGTAAATACACCTTGACTTTAATGCAACAAAAAGAGGCAGTAGAGTTTTTTTACCACAAAATGCCATTGTCTTGTAAGGTTTTTAAGCATTTTCAGAAGTGAGGTTTCTTTTATCATGATAATTTTGTATACTTACATGATAGTAAGTGCCCTTATCTGTATGTCTGGTTAAAGACATTGCCTCTGGATGTGGAGGAACAGGATTAACATTTATGTTCATTTTATTAGGTGAATGTGGTCCATGACCATTAGGTATATAGCCATTTGTAGGATATCCACCATTCATGTATTTTTTTCTAGTGCTATCAGTATAAATACGATGTGACTGATCGTGAAACTTTGAGTGAAGAACACCATTCATTACTACAATATATAATTACTATGTTAATTAGAGTTACATCATTTTCTTTATATTTCTAGAATGTCTAAAATCAACAATTAAACAAACACTACCTCTTAGAATAAACTTACATGACTAAAGAAGAGAATCTCTAAACAAAAACAAAATATCCATTAAACTAATTAATTATTGAAAAAAGCTTCTTAGCGTATTTCAAAATTACTTAGTTTAATGGATTTATTGGATTAAAGAGGTATTCTGTTGTTAGTCATGACACCAGGTAAGTCTACTGATGAACAAAGACTCATTTTAACCAAGTTTTAAAATTTCAATTTTTTGGTTAACCAAAGAAGTTTGACACATGCCACTGATTGATTACAAGGAAGATTTGGTAAAGAATGGAGTGATCAACAAAATTATTATTTTTCAACTTATGAATGTGGATCTTGTTATCATTATGAGGAGATAAATACAACATTTATTAGTCATCATACACAGTTCTTCAATGCAGTTATAAGGAGACAATTTATTGAAATATGTAACCAGACTACTGGACCTACCTGGCATTCTTCTCTGTTGTCTTTGTTTCCACCAACACATCAACATAAATACTATTAAAGCTAGTAGCATGATGCCCAATACAATTCCTAATATCATATATAGTTCCTGACCACTTGATGAGGTCATTGGGTTACCATGATCTATGGGCACTGATTGCGCTGGTCCGGAGGTTGTTTTTTCTACAATTGGTGGACCTACAATGAGATAATTGACATTATTAAATCCAAAATAATAACACAATGACAATCCTATAATCCTGTCACGCATTACTGTTATCAATAGTAATATTACTGTCTACAATTATCACTTCCACATAGGTTCCCTTCAGCACATAACTTACCCACAATAAACTATAATAACCAATCAAAGTAAGATTATATTACTATGATACAAAAATAACCCATGAAAAAAAAGTTTGACATGTTTTTATTAAGTATTTACAGGGTGTCTCAATTGAATTATTAATCGAATATTAATCGGTATTACTGCTGAATACTCAACAGTTGAATCATTTTAGGTTCAGATAATATTAATCTCATTGAAATTAGACCAAACTTTAGATTCGTATTTTATTAGCTTTTATTTCTGTCCAACCAATCCAGTTAAGGTCTTATGACTCCCTTCTTATTTCTTCGTCTTAATAACATTTGCCCAAACCTAATGACCTTTTCTTTTACCAATTAAATCACACAAGTCTGGACTGAACAGTCAATGGAAAAGCCTGTTTCAAAAGTGTTCAGCACATTGTTCAGTTTTAGATGACTTGATATGCTACTTTAGTTTGCTTCACATAATCCCTGGACTGGACAGGGACAGTTGTGTAGAGGAGTAAACTCATGTAAATATAAAAGCTAAAAAAAAGTTTGGTCTAATTTTAAAGCATTATATTTTTGTAATTTTTTGAATTATTGTAAGACAGAGAAAATATTTATATAAAAATATTTCATAATGACTTACCTCTGGTACGCTTTACTACAATTTTACTAAACTGACTTCTTCCATTGGAATTAAATGACTGCAGTTTGATAGCATAGTCTGTATGAGATGTTAAATTGACTAAAAAATAATGTCTTAATCCAATTTGGTTTAGAACAATTTCTTTAAAATCACCAGACTCATCATAAGGTTTAAAATGAACTATAAATCCTTTTAAATCTCTAGCATCAGGACCATTATACTATAAATAGAAATTATTATTAGATAAATATTAGCAGGGCAAGTCATAATATGCAGTAACAAAAATAAGCGTATCTACTTTGGTACTCAAATAAATACACTTTTATCAACAATGTAAACTTATTCTTGGTTTTTCAATAAAGATTAATATAGGTAGTTTACACCTGTTTCATAAATATCATTTGCTAATAACTTCCAACTGTCGAGGGATCTTTTAACGTGCAAAGCCTGTAGCACAAAGGGCCTCGGTTTATTATCACATCCGAACGACTAGACACTTTTTCCATGTCAGTCCCTCTTACCCCTCAAGGTATTATCTTGACCTATGTCGGGATTGAACCCTGAACCTTCAGGTTAAAGAGCAAGCGTTTAACTCACTGAGCCACCGTGGCTCCCTTATAATTACAGAAACCACAGATATTTGAGGGAAATGAGGAAAATAGAAGCCATAAAATATAATAATCAAATAAAAAAGCTAGAAACCCTTTTAACAATCTGTTTAAGGACAATACTATAATGAATGATGAAAAGGTTTGCCTATCAGAAATCTGAATTCGGAATTCAAAATTTTCAAAAGAATAATGTATCTTCCTTAAAGTAAACAAGCTATTAAGGACAGGTATATATGAAAAATTGTAAAGCAATTCTGATATTACTTAAGTTTCTGTTATTATATCCATAACATGAATAATGGCCCAGAACTTTACTGAAACCTAAAATTTTGATTAATGAACATCAAAAAATATCTGGACCCCTTTTCTAAAATGTTGATGGAAAAAGATTTATTAAATGTAAAAATGTATTTGTAGAAAAATACGTAAAATAACATTTGAAACTTAACATGTGAAAGCTTTTGAGAAACACTCATTATTTTTGGCATGATGGAATCGTCAATTCATAATGTTTAAGCTGATCTGTGATATTTTGAGAAACATAGTTCTGATGAAGAAGTTATGTTCTAACATTAAGGTACATACCATCCATTTCAGACTAATACCATAGATATTATTATTAGCAATAGGTTTGACTTCAACAATAATAGGTTCAGATGCTGGTACTGACTTGCCATCTGAATTATATTTTAACTGAAATCTTGGTGATAAATTACCAACTTTGTTATCATCATTGGTGTATACAGCTGCTATACGGAACTTATAATATCCTCCTGTTAAAAAATCAAATATACATGCTTTAAATACAGCTTTTAATTCAGACTCAGAGGATGTTAATATTTACATTTGAATTGTCGTAATAATTCGGCAATTTGAAAACATAACATACACAGCAGTAAGCCTCTATATATAACGGTTTTTGTACATCTCCAACAATAATTGTTTGCAATTTTCCAATCAATCAATATAGCAAACAAACAAAAAAACAGGGCAAATTGTTTACAACCCCAAAATTTGTCATCAGACCAAAAAACTCTGTTCTGTGAGAAATCTTTATAACTATATTTTTTTTTTTTTTTTATCAAGGTTAAAGAAAGTTTTCATCAGATTGGCCCAAGATTCTCTCTGATGTCACAGGTTTACTAGGAATCATTCAAAATCTAACTGCTGTAAAATTCTACCAGTGACAAGGTCAACCAGTTATTGTTTTTCTAATAAGTTTTTCTATTGAAACTAAATACTACTTACCCTTTTTTAAATGCTTTACTTCATACTGACGAACATGCTTTGATAGTTCATGATCTTCTGTTTTCCAGGAACTTTTTGATGGTGCCACTTCTTTATATTGCACTCTAAAGAATTTCACTGCCAGACCTTCATTTTTCTGTACAGTCCAATTCAACATAACAGATGAATCAGATAGCTGTGTGACTGTAGGTTGTGAAGGGGGTACCAAGATAACTAGAAATAAATATATATCACCCATTTTAATATTATAGATTTGATAAGATGTAGTGGTCTACTTTCAGTTTAGCTAGTTCAACATTTTCATGGTTATGATATATTGAATTTTTGTCCAGAAACTAAGTATTGGCCAGACTTCCATGTGACATATTGGAAAGTTTTCAACAAGATTTCTGGGAAAAATTATAGAAAGTTGAATTTTCGAGATTTAAGATAGAAACAGAGGGCAAATGAATTACCGGAGTGTGTTCAGATATGAGAGTCAATTAAAATAGTTATACATTTTACATTAATAAAATGATTAATTTACATACCTCTATTTCTATGTCTTCTTCTATTTTTGCCTTTCTTTTTTCTTCTTTTATCTTTTTTTCTATTTCGCTTTTTGTCTTTCCTAGATTTTTTAATATCATCTTCATCTATAGAAGTGGTCTCATTTGGGCTGTTGGTATTCATAATAGACAACCCTTCTCCATCTAAAACAATTCAGAATATGAGAATACATTACTACTGGAATGCCACATTTCAACTGTATATCAAAAAGTAGGGTTTTAATCTAAATTGAAGCTTGCTTTATATCAAACCGTCATGTTTCCACTTCAGTTAAGTTATTCTAGCATGGAATCAGATCATCCACCAAGTCTGTCACAAAGTGCTAGATTTTCCTATTTCCATATTTGGTTCAACTAACATTATATTGGCCTAATTGACACTCAATACCAGTGTGTGGATTCTATTTTTAGATTGAATACTGTTCCTATAATAATTACTAATGCACGTTTGTCAGGTGAAACAGGACATACTCAATCTTGAAAAAACCTGAATAGATTAACTATACAGACTATAGACATTTAGTTTAGATGAATCTTATACAAGAAGACTATAAAACAATGTTATGTACATACCTGCACCAAAAGGGTCCAGAACTTGACCTTTAACCCATAAATATATTGAAGCAGAAGCAACCCCAGCTTCATTACTGGCCATACATTGATAAATACCAACATCACTTTCTTCTAGTTTAGTTATCAATTTAGCTGTATCTATAAATTATAAAACATTATATCCATTGTAGGAATTCAACTTATAGCTTAACTTATCTATAAAAAAGACAATTATTACGGATAGATACTTGATAATTTTAATGTGGTTCTCACACGTCATCACATAATAGTGATGTTAAAAATAATAAATATTCTAAAAGTATCCCTCTATACTTATATGTCTTATTTATCTAAAACTTGTGTTTCTAATGTTTCATTTGAACAATAAGCTAATCTAGCTTACAAACTACAAATTTGTATGTAGATAATCAAAGACTGGAGTTATTTCCCCTTATACCTTTAATAGTGACTCCAAAAGTAACAGACAAAATTAAAATATTCTCTTGGAAAAATAAAAATATAAGTAAAATATACATAATAATAATATTTATCTGAAACATACCTCCATGAAGGATTTTGGTGTAGGAGTCTGTTAAAAGTTTGCCATTATGATACCATTGTACAGTAGGTTTAGGACGTCCCTGAACATTACAAATTATTCTTAAACTACTTCCCAATTCTCCTTCAATATGATTACTGGATACAGTGATTTTTGGCAGTTCTGTAAATAAAACAATTGATATTCATGGTTGTCAACAGGAAAATAATAGTTTGATATCCTATATTTAGCACTATACCTGGTCCTGGTTTTTTTTATTTTTAAAGACCTGATGAATTGAAAATACTGACAACAAAGATCCATTGAACGTATGTTCATTATTCTGACTATTTTCACTGGCTAATACTAACGTGTATTTCAAATTTTTCAACATAATAAATCTGTTATTTTTGTAGCATTTTTAATATATTACCTCTGACTTCTAAAGTAACAAATCTCTGTATTCCATTACTACTGCATAAATAGGTTCCTTCATCACGCAACTCTAGATTGTTTATATGTAAATTCCCTGAAATAACTTGAGAACGTGATTTTTTCAAGTAGCCATCATATTTAGTCCAATTGACTTTTGGTTCGGGTAAACCAGCAGATGGACATTCTAACACAGCATCATCACCAATATTTAATTTTATTTGGGAATTAGCGTCACTGTCTAAAATCCAGGTTGGTAATGGAGGATCTAAAATATACCAAAATTCATGGGATAATCAGGTTTGCCAATTCATAATAATTCACTTGAGCAATCAAATCATATCATAAATTAAAATCAGTTCATATCAATTCATGGTGGATCAGATCATATTTAGTTCAGTCAGTCTCAACCAATCAGAATCAATGCCTTCTTATGACCATATAAAGTATTGGTTTTGACTGATTAGAAAAAATTTGTAACACACTGACTATCTAAAATAATAACTTGAAGATATTAGTGTGGTTAATTTCCCAAAGGTCATGTATTATAAATATAATGATATATGCCTAGGTCATGTATCTAAAATAATAACTTGAAGATGGTAGTGTGGTTAATTTCCTAAAGGTCATGTATCTATAATAATAACATGAAAATGGGGATACAAATTATATCCCAAGGTCATGTATCTAAAAAAATAAGATGAAAATGGGGATACAATAAATATTGTATCTATAATAATTACCTGTAGATGGTGATACATTGAGTGTCACAATAAAATCAGATTTCTTGAGCTGTTCTGTGCTGGGATTATAAATGATACATTTATAGTCTCCTGACTCATCAACTTGAATATTTCTTAACACAATATTTCCTGATGGTAAAACTTCAATATCTTCTACAAAATAAGATACATAACATAAAATGAACATACATATCATCATAACTTCCTTAACAATTGGCTATTGTCAAATCAGCCAAAGAATAGACCTGTCTTAGTTGCAAATAATTGTATTATTGGAAATAACAATTAATTTTCATTTCTATATTCCTAAGGTTCTGTGTTTCTTTGACAAACAGCAACTGTCACATTCACTCTGAACATTTGGCCTGTAATCAACATGGTGGTAGTATAGCAAATTATATCATATACATATATCAGGAGATAATGTCTAGGCCCTTTTTTACAATAGCCAATTTCACTCAGACCATAAAAACTCCAAATCTACACCTAAAAATAGTAATAAGAAGAGCATAATATGTAAAGAGAACTGTCTTAAATTAGCTGGAACTACATGTATAGGCACTCAAATTTTTGTGGTCTGGGTCCAAAAAGCTGTAATGTCATAATCTCATAATTGTATGTAAGAGACATATCAAAATGATTGCCTCTATGAACTCTTGATTTTGGCCAGAAAGTCAAAAGTCAGTTTATGTGAAACTTAGATTTTATCATAAGACGAACTATCCCTTTAAAGTACCTTTATAATGCATGTGGAATGATTGTGACAGAAGCAATATACAGGTTATGAGGTATTAGGAGCAGTAATACATGTGTATTGAATGAACTTTATAGGAGTAAGATAAATCTATTAGACACAAGTTAAAACATTCAAGTGTATGTTATAAAATATAGAATCATTTATTTATAGTAGAATTCTATATACATGATAAGAAATATTTGAGCTGCATGAAGAAATTCTAACAGCTGTTATGTTTGTGATAGAAAGAGGAGGAAACTTAAAAGGGAGATAACTCAAATCACACCTGCTGTTGATTAATATTCTTTGCCTATCATAAAACTGACAAGTTTATTTCTAAATTAGTTATATTTTTAATAACTAATGAAATTTCCCCAACATTTCTTCTCTGTCTTTTGAAAATTGAATAAAATATTCTCAAACCATGGCTATTTATAGCACACAAAGTGTGAAGCAAGATAACTTTCAACTGGAGCTTTAAAGAACAAATTGTATTATACAAAAATAACCATGAGCATTTATGACCCTGATCATTTTAGTTAGAGCATGTAAAAGACCTTTGTACTAGTAAGAATACTAAGTTCCTCTTTCCCATCAATTTAGAGTATTTTTATTATTTAACCACAACAGTAGTGGAATTTGACAAATGACAAGTAACTTTTTGTGCAGTCCAACTTTCATTTAATTTTTTATTAGTTGAACATTCGTCCTACCAGTAACCTGCTTTAACCAATCAAATTTATGCCTTCTCCAGCGTTGGCATTTTGCAAGAGATTGAAGGAATTTGATTGGTTAAAGTAGATGTCATTAGATTAGGTCAAAAGGTTATTTTGATGAATGTTTTCCGGTTGTTGGACCCCACTCTGAAATGGCTACACTTAAAATAAAAACTAATAAAAAAATAAGCGAAAGCTGAGTTTAATTCTTATTAGACTGCTTCTTGTGTATCTTATGTATTTTGTGTAGATTGCTTTTAATAAAATTTTCTTCCAAATTGTCACCTTACAAATGGTCATGATATACTTGTTACAAAAATGTACCGATATGTATTGACAGCATATCTTAACATCATCTTAACTTCAACATTATCATTGATAAATAAGAAATATGTTTTATATTTATGGTATTTTGTAAATCAAATTCAAATAGTCACTGAATGTAAATAATCTACTGGGCAAAGAATTTCTGCTTCAAAAAATAAGATTGATTGGCCTGTCTCTTTTCCACAGAAACATTTCAATAAAAAGCCACAAAAGCTCAGTTTGAAATTTTGGCATATGTTGGGGAAGTTGTTTGATAAAAGAGGCCAAGCACAGCAAGACTGTAATATGAGAGTGATTAATCGCCTGTTGTGGAACGTAGTTTAAAACTGTTCTTCTTTGGAACAGCAGGCCTCTCCTTCCTCAAGCAATTTTTTTCAATTCTTTATAAAATTGACAAGATAAAACTCTCATTTCACACTAGTCTTTCATACATTATTTCTCTTCAATTATAAAGTCATAGTTCAAAAGTTTGTAAGAAATAAATATCATAAATAAAAACAGACTAGTGAATTTTATATTTAATATTTTCTAGTTATAAAAGATATTTAATATCTAGACTCTATTATCTGACATTCTGTCTGGGATATGCAACATTAGACAGGATTTATTCAAGATAATGGATATTGTGGCATAAAATTATTTCACCAAATCATAAGATATATCTATGAGGGAATTTTCTCAAGGAAGCACAGCTGTAAGTAATTTTGAAAATCTATAAAACTACTTTCAATGCAATCTAAAATTTATGCGCATAACTTTTATTTTTCACTTTTAATATTGGTAACATTTTACAAGAAATATTAAATTAGATTTCCAATCAAGTTCAGAGACAATTTGCAAAACTTCAGGCAACTTAATGCAAAATTAAAAAAATTGTAAATATTAAAAGAAGTTTGACTGAAGTTGAAAGTAATTTGTGAGTGTTATTATAACCCCCTACCAGTCAAGTTAGATATGTTAACTTACTTCCAATATCTAAATTAATCTAATTAAATATGGCAGACATTTACCTATCTAACATAAATATAGAAATACAACTTTTTACAATTAACTTTATTTTTAATAAGTGCAATTCTGTGACGTTTATTTCAAATTTATATCCAACACTTGAATGTCCTTTAATTAAGCCCAACGCAGACAAGGAACATTTTAAGCGAAAAATTGTAAAAATTTTGTTTCGATCACTTTTTTTTACCGTCTGCGGATTACAGAAACACAAACAAAAATGTTCGTGAGAATTGTTCGTGAAATCAAACATGTTTGATTTTTTAAAATTGTTCGCCACCCGAACAATTCTCTGTTCGCCATCTGCGTTAACGACGAACATTAGCGCCGACCATTCATCCACGAAAGACCAATCAGCGATCGAAGCCAGACCACATGACACTCAAAATGGCGACGTCCAGTGAATCCACCAACACAAAATTTTGGACTGTGGTCTGTGGTCGCAATCTGCCTGTTTGTTTATGATTTCTTCGCCCGACTATTCGTATAGGAACAAGAAGTACGCTGCGATGCAAGAAATAACACAAGCCCTGGAAACAACAAATTTACAAGGTTGTCGAACACACACTGCTCTTTACGATGTTGAATCCGGGTACAGAGCCAAATGCTCCCATTTTGACCGTCTACGTTGGCGTCTTTTTTAAAATTAATAAAATAACCAACGCAATTTTACATTTTCTTCTGGAAGTCGCCATTTTGAGGTCATGTGATTTTCCGTGGCACTGGCGTATTGTTCGAGCTAAATGTTCGCCGTCTGCGGAATTATGTTTGTCGTCTGCGGATAACGGAAAACAAATATTTTTGTTCGATGTTTTTGTTCGTCGACAGAAATGTTCCTCGTCTGCGTTGGGCTTTAAAGATAGGTTTCCTTATTTTTTAGTGTCGAATACAGCACATTTTTTGATCAATTGGTGTTTCTAATTATCATGTATTCTAAATCATATCATTATGTTCTTATTGAATATGATTCAGAGTTTTAACCAGTCTAGATAAACAAAAAAAAGAGACTTTTTGACCTGATCAGTCACTCATTGGAATTCTGTTGGAAATTCTCTTCTAATGTAGCTAATTTTAAATTCATTATTACATGCGAGACCAACTGGCAACTTTCTATTCATATAAGTATCAGCATTTTTATTTTCATAAATGAAAATAAGGGAACCGATCTTTAATTTACAGGAAAATTAACATCTAATCTCTTAGCAAGTAAGATCATATCAAAATAAGTAGCAGACCAAACTTTCATAATATTTCAATTCATGACTAAACTGACAATAGTTACACACAACTTCAAGTAAATGGAGAATTTGGGAGACTTCTTACAGCCAAACTGCCATAAAAAGCCATAGTTTTTGACAAGAAAATTAAGGTTGCAACAGGAAGACTGAAATGATATTTTCATGGTAAAAAGAATAAAAAAAGTTGAATGTCTAATGACGATATGATTAAAAGACATGTGGTAACCAGCTGCTGTAATGAATATGAACGCATGAGCAGACATTATACCTTCAAATTAATAAACATGACTTACTCAAGAAAACATCAAACATTTAATAAACAAAAATGTATACTTATAAGTAATTTTCTATGTTAAAATGATTCGAACGAGGTTTTTATAATTTCTTTTAGCGCCATTTTACAATCTCACCATCAATATTTAAGACTTAGCATATCTGAACCAGTGATGTCATAATTTGGATAACATTTTCTGAATAACAACATATTTGGATAAGAATCATTACAAATAGATGCTAAATGATTTATTTCCTTAAAATTTCATAAAAAAACAGAAATATGCAATAGCTTTAATTTCTTCACAAAACTGACTGAAGTCTATAGAGTGTCTTATGAGTTTCACTTGTACCAACAACAAAATATAAAACCTTTAATGATTGGTCATTCTGTATAGCAGGACCATGGTTATAGAACCAGTTACCAGAACAGTTAAAAACCTGTAAATCTGTTGACTCTTTTAAGAGAAAGTTAAAAACACACCTTTTTAGAATAACTTTTACCTAAAACAACTGTGTGTGTGTATAGATATTGACTAATATAGTCTCACGTTAGAGCAGTAATGAGTGATATACTAGGATCAATAACTAACTCTTGAGTAAAAAATATGTCTATGATAGATATGTAGTTTTTTTCCAATAATTAAAACAATACTTACTATCATTACGGATATCTACTATTTGACCCTGTGAATGTTGAAACTGTATTATAGAAGGTTTAGATATAAGAGGTGAAAAACAAGGTAAAGTGACCACACCACCTTCTGTTACATTGATACTGATATCTCTACCATTATAAAACTTGAATACTGAAATGAGAATGATATATCACATTGAATATACAAAATATATATATAACACATACCTGATGTATTTATTTATACTATCATTTTAATGAATATTAACATTGTATTCTGTAGAAAAAGTAAAATGAAACAAACCAGTCAATCATTTGAATATTTTCATAAACATGAGATTTGAAATTTGAAGATTTTGATATTATAGTATATTGTACAGCCAATGAGTTTCAAGTGTTTTCTGTAATATTCAATGTTCTGAAGGTTTGTCAACTAGATCAAATGATATTAACTGGTACCAGTACTTAAATATGACCAAGTTTAGAAAATTGATTAATTTGAATTCCTTCATGTGCACAAAAGTTAAGATTTTTTGTGTTGGCAACTGGATGCCCTGTGACTGAACTCATTGTGAGTAAAGGTAAGATCAGATAAGGATAAAATCAAAAAGAACAAGTGGTTGCCTAGCAAGATACGCCCACTTTCCTCATACATTTTCAGTATATCAAGGGCGGTCACCAATCTGTGTCAAATCATACCAAAAACCTAATTTGTGCAAGATATTGTTGATTTAAACAAAGACACATTATTTAATAAAATTCTGACATAAACTGTCACCTCTATCACGTTAACAAGCCAACAAATTTTTACTAAGTT